AAAAGACGAACATCCGCCATGCGCGCATTTCGAGAATGCGAGTGCATCTCTTGGGGCCGTGTTTGACAAGCGTTCTGAGAGCAGTAACATCACCAGTCCAGGCTGGATCTCCCGGGAGGTTTTGCAGTGTAGTGTGTTGAGAAAAAGAGCTCCGTTGAGTCCTGCTAGTTCAAAAATATATCGTCCACGAATGAAGAAACAAAATTCTCCAAACTGAGAGGAAGCCTTCTTGCTGCCGACACGGCGACAGCGACTGTCACAAGGACTCGTCAGGTGCGATCAGCTGATTCGCCTGGCCGTGAGAATCACGGCATGCGTAAGCTCGCGCCTGAGTACTCATCTGAGCGAGAGTGAATCTGACGCGAGCAGCGCTGAGATGAACAAACCGAAACTGCGATATCGTGGAATGGGAATTGCTGCTGCTGCTGGCGTATCGCCGATGGCGAGGTGTTGGTGTTCAATGACGGTATTGTAGAGAGCCTACATTTCTTATAAAGACGTAGCCCTTACCTGATTGTTTATCGTACGACTTCAGCTCCATCACGAACTTGGTACGCCGTTCGTGCTGTGATATTCGTGTATTTCATTCGCAATTGTATTTTCTCTCAACTTGAAGGGCTACCATGGGCCCTATCCTTGCCTGGACCTAGTCATATTTGAATTTTCTGGACGCGTTCAGGCATACAGATTTTGAAAATATATGGTTTACCCATACCTACATCACATGGTTCTTGAGTTATTGCTGGTTGTGTGTACATGTATTTGCGTGACCACCCCTCACATACATTGAGTTAGACCGGCAAAGGGTTAACCGCACACATCCGTTTTCCACAAAAATATCCGGATAGGCGAGGGAACCGGATAACCGAACACTGTTTATGTTGGCTGCATCACGTATGCTATAAATATGTAACCAGCTACATGTATTTTCTTCCGGATGGCGAAGGATCAGGATAAAAGAGGATCGGATAAGCGAGGTCTGACTGTACTGTGAAATACAGTGCTGCTCAACGAATGAGTCAAGGCTTCGCCGTGCACTAGTTCACACCCCACTGTTCGCAGGTCTACAGTCCATTCAGAAAAAGATGGACTTCTAGCTTTTGGCCATAAATGGGTCAAACTTTGAGTTTTTTTAGAATTTTTTTCTGCAATCCCCTATGGAATCCTCTTCCAATTATGTTTCTGAAGTCTATTTGTCCAAAAAGCAAGCCATAACAAGAATAGGATATTGGCCAGGTTTTGCCCCAGAAGCATTGAATTGGAAAAAACCATCAAAATCCAGGCCGTTTGACCCTGCCTGCAACAGTGCATTGTGGGGTTCGAACCCCAGTTCAGGTACCCTTTTTGGACTCTTGTTCAAAGATCAAATTTCGCAGCACTGCACTGTGTACAATGAAATCACGAAAAATCGCCAAATACGGGAGCTCGCCAGAGCCAGGGCCCATCTTTTTCTGAATGGACTGTAGGGCTGGACAGTGAGCTTGATCGAATTTCATTGAGCAGCACTGCACAACACCGGGAATGTAGGGAAACCCCTCCAGTATGACTCTAGTGTGCGTGTAACAATTCCTAGTCCGCCATTGAGTTCTGTACACCTTGTTAACCCTGTCCGGATTATGCGTTTTTTGAAGGGTCAAAATGGAAATGTTTATTTTTTTGAAATTTACCCAAAATGCTAAAAAAATCTTTCAAAAAATTCAAAATTTCACCCAAAATGCGAAAATTATGCTGACGTTACCATGGCAACCAAGATGGCATAAGACTTGAATCCCTTGCTTGTCGTTCCAAGTGCACGTGGAGGAAGTGCGTGCAAAGGAGGTGGTTGTTTTCGATAGTCGAAAGGAATCGATCATTTTGTTTGGTTGTATGGCTTCTTCAGAGTCAAGTGCACTCGAGGCTTCCGATGAGCATGCAAAATATGCTCAAAATGTTGGAGAAATGCTGAAAAAACCCCAAAATGCGAAAAATATGCAAAACATAATCCGGACAGGCCTACAACTTGTAGAGGTGAGGTCATTGACCTCTGTACATCTTCTAGAAGCGAGATCGATCTGACTCTGATATCTCACCCGAAGTACCAGTGCAGCTTGCATGTATACTATCTTTGCACATGAAAACAATCCAGACAGAACTGCCACTCACCCCGATTGTCGCGATTTTTTGATATCTCTACCGCTGAACGCAAATATATGGGTCGTGCCTGGATGGAAAGTACAGGAAAAAAGGCCAACTTAGAACAAGGACTATACAGTACTGGCGGGTGCTGAAGAACTGGGGGCAGGAGGGGACGCCCCTTCAGCCTAGACCGTTCTTATTTTTCATGTACCGTAAAGTACCGCCAGAGTGCCCCACCTTGATTTTACAGCCAGAGAAAGGAAAATCGTATGGCAGAGTGCAACGAAGTGTGTATGATGTGAGAATCTTAGTGTACTAAGGTCACACTTGGCAGGTTTTTGTGTGGAGCTTGTAATCCGCTTGAAGGTACGGATTGACTGCAAAACGTGCAATATGTGTACAAGGTTCATGTCGTATCACCTACAGACAGCAGACCACCTCCACAATACGACCACGAAAGGAAGAGATGGTGGGGCGCTCTGGCGGTACTTTACGGTACATGTACTACAGCCTATGCACAGTTGAGTCACCGTGTATGTATCGGTATGCTATGCCTGGTGATTTCACCCAGCCTGCTCGTTCTTCGGTGCTCTTCAGCGCCAGACAGCACTGTAGTCTTGAACTCAGATGGCTAGCCAATGATAACTTTAGAGGAAAAGCAGGTAAACACCAGGGCACAAGTTATGCGCATGAGTCTACCAACTAAACCAGATCTTGTACAGCTCGACGTGCACAATTTAGCACAATGCTGACACTGAGTACCGAGGCATTCCACGGCATGGTAGTAAGCTTGAGCACTGCACCATAGCGCTAACCAACATGGAAGGCTCGTGGTTGCGAGCGACAATGCCAAAGGGGAAGGGAAGCGCCATCAAGCCAAACACAAGCTACATTTCAAGGCTACAAGGAATGCTGACTTATGACGACGATGGGACGGTAAGGCCATTGAACAGCACGGTCAAACCACAATTCGATAATAGGAAGGTTTCGCTCTACGTAATTACGTATGAAAATCCGCATGTCGTACACGCCGGGGACCGAGGGCAACTTTCCTACGTAAATCTCTCTACGGATTTCCGTAGGAAAGCTCTTTCCTACGTTGGGTCCTTCGTAGGACTTTTTGAAATATTTTTTGCATTTTCCGGATTTATCCATGGCAATGTTCAAGCCGCGCGAAATACAAGGTACACACACGGTACACCACGTGCAAAATTGAATGGAAAACGCGGTTTCGGTTTGTGGTGCATGCGGTGGGCGCATGCAGCCTGTCCCTCCAGGAATCCGCGGACAGAAAGTTGAAATTCTGCGGCACAAATCGCTACATTATGCGGCGGATAGCGTGATTTCTGCGGCGCTGCACCGGCGAAAAGACATGGCTATATGCTATGTACAAGAATCAATAAAAAAAATTAGTGGTCAAAAACACAGATAGGCTCAATACAGTAACGAAGAAAACTGGTACAGTTGCTGTACTGTCCATTGCAAAACTCCCTCGACTTTGAATGCAACAAAATAGCGACAGGACACTGCACTGTGCATGAATATGAAGCGCGTGCTCGCATTGCCCCCAAACCGTGATTTTTCACGATTCTGCGGTGAAAACTGTGAATTCCGCGGGATATTAAAAAAACATGAATTCCGCGGAGTTTACCGCAGCCGCGGAATCACGGATTCCTGGAGGGACAGTGCAGCCAACGCGTCTCCAAAGCAACAAGGCATGTTTAGCAGTCGTGGAGAAATCACGTAGAGCGAAACCCAACAGCGCTGATTTTTACGTATGAAAATTATGTGCAGTTCCTACGTTATTTTCGTAGAGCGAAACCTCCCTAATGCAAAGCAACACCACCGAACTTGGGTGGCTCAATTGTATCATGGCATGCAATGTCTCAGGACTCGGTGGCAGTATTGTGATAAGTTGTGCAAGTCTGACTGCTCAAGATCTGGTATAGTTCGAGGATACACGACTGTGCGAGACACCAAAAACCTAGGGTGTTAGTTTTGGATGAATGGACTGTAGACAGATAGATAAGACACTCAATCTGCTATGGATAGATAGATTAATAGATAGATAGATGGAGGAATATAGAGAGTAAGCAAAGGATACACAGAGCTACAACCCACCATTTGCAGTTGTAATGTCCCGTGATTTGAGTGGCTCATTAGTGGCAGAAAGAGCTGGTTTCTTGGACTTCTTCTTCGGTGCCTGATGTAGATGAGAAGGAAGGCAACAGTGCAGAAAGAACCATGTCACGCTCAGCACGACAACACACTCCACTACATGTCACACACCTGGACTGTAAAATCCTGCCAGAGCACCCTGCGACTTCAACCCCGTCCAGGGTGTGATCGTAGGGCACGGCGAATGAGATCTCTCTGCATGGTGCTTTACAACATGGCCTCGCAGGGCTATTTTCTTCATATCCATACAGTGTAGATGCTTTGTCTGTAGTGTGGGACTTGACCCTCAACTCTGACAAAAGGTTAACCCTTTCACTGCCAGCTGACCACTCAAGGTGACAAGGCGCTCCCTGCCAGGCTGTCAGCTGAGCTGTACACCCCCTCACTGCCAGGCACTTTTTGCCTCCAGCTCGAAAAATCGAAAGGCCAACTTCTCGTGGATTTTTTGGTACTTTCTGTACGGAATATCGCTTTCCAAAGTATACATCGTAGGTAGACAGCTCATAAAGGAAGCCATTGCTGTCGAAAAAAATCGCAAAATCCGAAGTACAAACGTGCTGCGCGCTCTAGCGCCAGCCGCTGTGCAAAAATGCATGCCATGTCATGCGAAAGTGCGCCGCATGCGCAACATACACTATGTACACGATCGGCCCAGACACTCGCGAAGTAAAGTTACCGTAAAAGTCCGTAAATAAGTACCTGCCCGAAAGAAATACCCCCTTCAATCTTTTGGCTCTGTCTGTTGAAGTCAAGTCAAGGCCGATAAACATACTGCCCGAAATAAGTACCGGTACGGTGCGCACATGCAACACGTAGCATGTACATTGACATGAAAATGACTTCTCCACTACACACAAGTCAGGTCCGAAAGTCAGTACCCGCCTGAAAGTTAGTACGGGTGTGGTCACTAAATTCGAAAGTAAATACGTACTTATTTACGGACTTTTACGGTAGTTGTTGTTATTTTGGAGAGAGAAGCAGATCCTTTTTTTGTTAGCTGGGATTAAAAGATCTGCCATTGGACCGGAGAGCTACAACACTGGAAGCAGAAGAGATGGCGTGCGGAATGTTCTCTGTCTTCGTGGCAACAGGACTTCAGTTGCGAGAGACTTTCGTCCTGTTGTTGCGGGCGAAATTCTAGTTGCTGCCACCAGAAAACTCGGAGAACGAAACGATCACAAGTCGTTTGGCGAAGCGGGTCGTGTCGGTGAACAGCTGCGGAATGTTCTGCCGCCATGGTGGTCGTTTGTTCTCCCGATTAGCAGCAGTTCGAATAAATTTCGACTTCGGAGAGTGAAGCGCTTCCCTGTTCCGTTGACAAGCGCGGCGTTCGCGGGTGTAATGCACTTTCGCATCAGCTTGCAGTAGATCATCAGGTATTGAGCCTGATGTAGGTGTCGTTGTAGAAAGAATATAATTATGTTGTAGCTGACATACCTGTAGTGTCTCTTGACTGTGCTGGTCGCCATTGTGACGTGGTAGTTCTTAGAAAATTTTAGTTCTGGACTCAGTGAGCGCCGCCAGCGCTGTTTCTGCCAAGTTTGCAGTGAATGCGTCCGTGAGGAATCCGCCGTGTGGTTGTCTCTACCCGTGACTCCAACCGCCTATCGCAATGGATAGCCGCCTGGAGTCTTGGGCAATGGCTAGGCATCAAGTCTGAACCAAATGTCATGCTCCTTGCAATGAAAGTTGACGGGAAAGAGAAAAAAACTGGCACCGACTCAGCAAGGTGGAAGTGCGTGAGAACCGATTTCTTCCGCGCCGCTCGGCTAAAAATCAGATGCACATTTTCAACGACGCTGGTTCGATTTTTTTCAAATGGCAACCCATGCTTCTGGCAGCGTATTTCGATGGGTATGGACCTCTTCTAGGGCCTAGTGGCCCTCTACTACAGCTAAACATCTCCAATATTCAAAAATAGCGGCCCAAACTGGGTGAAGTCTGCCTGTCGACAAAAGTCGACGGTGGCACTGGGGACTGCATGTTTGCTTGTCGACTTTCGTCGACAGTGGCACTCAGAGTGCATGAATGCGCTGTCGACTTTTGTCGACAGTGGCAGTGAAAGGGTTAAACTAAGGCACCTGCAAGCAGTTTCTGCAAAGCAGCATCGCTTGCATGACACAATCCTAGTCCTTCCCAAGACAAGAAATCAAGGCGGGATGCTTGGCAATATAGGCACACGCTACCTCACTCTAACTCTCTGGATGAAACAACAAAATTCCAGACGAATATATCTGCTCATACAGTTACAGAAGAACAATCCAATCCACCACTGCTCGCCAGACTCACCGTTGGATTGGCATTTTCTTTATCCGGTTCGTATAGCCGCTTCATCGTGGAGTTCCAATGGTTTTTGATAGCATTGTCAGTTCTAGCCAAAAAGACAGAAAGATGAGAAGGCAAATAAGCCAAAAGATGATACGTTGTGGCTAATGAACAAGACTGGCGCTGCGCAGCCAGAGATCAAAAGCGCAAAGAACATCAAGATAGGACTTACACACTCTTAGTTATGCACTATTGCTGCTAGCAAGAGTACATGAAAACCAGAGTGTGCAGCTCGGATGGGTTGCTGTCACGGCGAAATTCCGTGATTACATCATTTTAGTGATGTAGTGCGTACAAGCAGGATTCAAGCAGGTCTCTTTCTGCACAACTGCAGCTCAGTTGTACGCACTACGCCATTTCCCGCCTCAGATCTGCACCAAAATGATGTAATCACGGAATTTCGCCGTGACAGACACCCATAGCAGAGAAGGCCCCAAGCTGCACACTCTGGTTTTCATGTACTCTTGCTGCTAGCAAGAGTTCATACTGTAAGAGTTGAAAGTGTGACGAGTCTAAAGTTTAATTACCGTGTGTCAGCGCCTTTAAAACCATGGCCTTATATTCGAAACACCGCTGCTTTCCTAGATATTTTAGATGCAAAATGACTCACCCACTACGCCATGCCATAAAAGTCAAAGTCCACACAGAAATTTCAATCTAAATCTACTTGTTCACCCTTCCTGCTGGGCTGTAAGTTTGCTAGCATTGTACCTATTCCTTCATTTTTGCAAAACATACTTCAAATGTCATTTCATTTACGAAGCCCATGGCTTTATAACCGAGACTGGCTTTATAATCGAATATACTGCCATGGCTTTAAAGGTGAAAACATACGGTAACTATTTGCAACGGTGTCCCACTTGGCGGGCACAAAGTTTAACGACCCTGGCATCACGCACATCTCTTCTGTTTCTCTACAGTCCATTCATCGGAAACAGTCCCGCTGGCGTTTGAAAGTCCGATTTGGGTTGAATTGAGGAGCAAAAACCCACTTAACCCTTTACCGGTCTACCATAAGCGAATCGATACTATAGTATCGGTACGTTTGGCCCTCATTTTTTGGGGATCTTGTTGCTAGGAGACAGCTAAAATGGCGCTCTACGCGTAGCTGAGGTCCAAGGCTTTCTGACGATGTACAAAACAACCATGCTTACCATACAAATTTTTGCCGTATCGATCGACTGAAGTTTGTTGAAATTGGAAAAGACGACCATCCACCATGCGCGCATTTCGAGAATCCGAGTGCATCTCTTGGGGCCGTGTTTGACAAGCGTTCCGAGAGCAGTAACATCACCAGTCCACGCTGGATCTCCCGGGAGGTTTTGCAATGTAGTGTGTTGAGAAAAAGAGCTCCGTTGAGTCCTGCTAGTTCAAAATATATCGTCCACGAATGAAGAAACAAAATTCTCCAAACAGAGAGGAAGCCTTCTTGCTGCCGACACGGCGACAGCGACTGTCACAAGGACTCGTCAGGTGCGATCAGCTGATTCGCCTGGCCGTGAGAATCACGGCATACGTAAGCTCGCGCCTGAGTACTCATCTGAGCGAGAGTGAATCTGACGCGAGCAGCGCTGAGATGAACAAACCGAAACTGCGATATCGTAGTAGTAGTATTTATTCCCGTAGCTATGCAGAAGACGTTACTTCAGTAACGTCTGGCGCTAGCCAGGGTCCACACAGCTTTAATTTGGTGTTTGTTTGTTTGTGTGTTTGTGTCACGCCTGGCGCTATCTCGTATCTGTCCCGTACCGTACCGTACCATCAAACACAGCTGGCCACATACAGCTGGCCGCAATATTCAAATAGGGCTTTCAAACGCAAAATAATAACGTGAAGCAACTTGGAAGAATGAGTACGAATGCGAAGTGGATGGGGGAATGCATGTGGGGCGATAGTGCGGGTTCTAATCCCAGGAAATGCCTTAAAAAATAGGAGAATTGAAAAATTTATAACATCCCTTTTCTTTTTTTGCCGTCATCAAGGCGGTAGACGGTGTCGTATTACCCTCGACCGTACCTGTCCCGTACCTATCCCGTACCGTACCGTACATTCAAAGACGGCTGGCCACAATGCATATTCAAATAGGGCTTTCAAATACAAGATCATAACGTGAAGCAACTTGGAAGAATTAGTATGTATGCGAAGTGTATCGGGGGTTGCATGCAGGGCGATTGTGCGGGTTTGAATCCCAGGTTATGTCTAAAAACAAAAAGTAGAAACTTATAAGAATTTATAACATCCCTATGCTTTTTTTGTCTAGGTCATCAAGGCAAAAAAGCATAGCGTAGGGCCCTGAGCTTCCAAGCTCTCTCATTATTTTACTAGGGCACTCCCCACAGACTGTGAGTCTTTTTACAGGGTAATGGGAATTGCTGCTGCTGGCGTATCGCCGATGGCGAGGTGTTGGTGTTCAATGGCGGTATTGTAGAGAGCCTAAATTTCTTGTAAAGACGTAGCCCTTACCTGATTGTTCATCGTACGACTTCAGCTCCATCACGAACTTGGTATGCCCTTCGTGCTGTGATATTCGTGTATTTCATTCGCAATTGTATTTTCTCAACTTGAAGGGCTACCATGGGCCCTATCCTTGCCTGGACCTAGTCATATTTGAATTTTCTGGACGCGTTCAGGCATACAGATTTTGAAAATATTATGGTTTACCCATACCTACATCACATGGTTCTTGAGTTATTGCTGGTTGTGTGTACATGTATTTGCATGACCATCCCTCACATACATTGAGTTAGACCGGCAAAGGGTTAAATCTAAAAAAATCTGGGTTTAGGATCTGCTTCTCTAATCTCTATACATTTTGCCATGGCATACCTGTCCTAATTTTGTAAAACCTGGCTGAATTTCTATTTCCCTGTTCTTGGACTTTTCTGGTTTCAAATGTGTCAAGGAGAAATTGCACGGGTCACACAATGCAGGATGTACTATTGTTTTCACGATATCTACAACTATGCGTGGGAAAAACCAAAAAGTAAGGGTGCCAGTTTCCAATGAATGAACTGTAGTACAGAGGAAAGAAGGAATAACATACGTGTAACGTTTCTTGAGTTAGCGATGGATTTTTCTTGTTAAAACGACTTTGTGCCCCGTTAGAGATTTAACTCCAACAGTAACCCACAAGAGTGTGCAACCCCAGTTATGGAGTCTGTGACGGCAGAACTTCACATCACGAGACGAGCTCGTACACATTATTTGCACCATGTGCATGCCAGATACAGGGCTGTATGCAACCCTGTTTGGGTTCAACTCTCTTGTGGTCACTTTGCACTGTTTGCCAGCGTGACCTATTGAGCCATATCACGTGATGTGAAGTCCTGCCGTCGCAGCACTGGATAGAGGTTGTGCGGGCAGTTGCACACACTTGGGGGCTATGTACTCTTGCCGCTAGCAATACCCCTAACAGGGAGAAGAAGAAGAAAAAGCTACAGTCGACTCCACAACCAACTTGAGTGTAACAAATTCCGTGACATATCGAATGATGTGTTGTTTGTATGGTACGAGTGAATTTCTGTAATAAAGAAGTTTGGCTATAATGCACTGATCCTCCTGCATGTCGGTGTTTTTTTTTCTCATCAGGAATCAACTGTACATGTACTGCCAACTCTGGCCAGCAGCTGCTACTCGGTACTGATCATAACCACCAGACAGAAGAGCCGTGCGCCACAGGTTATGCATATCCATAACTACACGTTCGCTTTGGTCAACTCTTTGGAGATAGGCCCTTGCTACTCCCTGACCACATATGACTCACTATCCTTCAGCAAGGAAGGGAAAAGGAAACGATCATAACTCACCGCCCGGGCATTTGTTTGGCAATCTCCGCCCATTTGTTGCCAAACTGGCTCCGTAACTCAAAGATCTTTGTCTCCTCTTCCGACGTCCACGCAGACTTGTTCACATCCGGATTTAAATGATTGTGCCATCTGCCAAGAACACAAAGAAAGAAGGCAAAGCGCTAAGATATCATGGCACAGGGGAACACTACACGTACACAATGAAACTCCATTTTCCAGCCGGTCAACGAACATGTATTTATAGTTTTACATAGCTTAATTTTGGTGACCTCACGATGCACTGACGAAACAAGTGGCTGTTTTGCAACCTGCTGGTGAGCCAAAAAATTCTCCTCTTCCCAGATATGCTCATGGTTTGATCATCGTGTGCACTCTGAACACAGTTCAACATAACCATGCGTTCCACATCCGGTCCCCTTGATCGAATCACTCTTATAATCACGATGCTCTTACCTTTCACGGCACTGCTTTCCAATGCGACCCTTTAAGTAGGAGGCAATCAAAGACCATTTTCTTGCGCCATGTTCTTGAACTAGCTGAGACACAATTTCATCCTCCTGTGAACACCATTGGGACAGAGAAGAGCATTTTTCCAACAAACCATTGATTGAATCGTTTGCAGGCAACCTGCCTACACTCAAGAGAGCACTGCATTTCACACAAATCCATTGGTATCGTTACAAGGTTTCGGTCTTTATGACCATCATCAGGATGGTCATAAAGACCGAAACGTTGTAACGATACCAATGGATTTGTGTGAAATGCAATGCTCTCTTGAGTGTAGGCAGGTTGCCTGCAAACGATTCAAGTATAATGAAGCTGCGCGAAGCGTCCTTCAAAATTTTGAAACCATTGATTACCACTACTTTTACGGTAGGAAAATAGAATTTGTGTGTGTTTTGAAGGACGCTTCGCGCAGCTTCATTATACTTGAATCGTTTGCAGGCAACCTGCCTACACTCAAGAGAGCACTGCATTTCACACAAATCCATTGGTATCGTTACAAGGTTTCGGTCTTTATGACCATCATCAGGATGGTCATAAAGACCGAAACGTTGTAACGATACCAATGGATTTGTGTGAAATGCAATGCTCTCTTGAGTGTAGGCAGGTTGCCTGCAAACGATTCAAGTATAATGAAGCTGCGCGAAGCGTCCTTCAAAATTTTGAAACCATTGATTACCACTACTTTTACGGTAGGAAAATAGAATTTGTGTGACCGTGTGCATGCACTGTGTTCTGCGATCGGCAAATCAGCCCCCCCCCCCCCCCCCCCCCCCACCACACACAGACGCCAAAAAATTCCAGACGCAACTGCACATTCCAGGGTTCTAGCCATTTTTTGTATTTCCAAAATTGTCTTTGCCATGCAAAATGCAACGTATGGGGCGAGCCCCCAACTTCACCCCAGACAAATGTGCCTTTATGAACCCTCTAGTAGTGACTACCGAATGCATTTTCGTTGAATGGTATGAAAAAACACAAAAATCGACAAGAGCCTTGGGGTGCCACTCAATCAGAGTAGGAGGGTGCTGCTCCCCCCCCCCCCCCCCCCCCCCTGGCTAGAACCCTGGGTGCTGAGTCGAATGGTCTTGGTCCGAGGAAGCTGAGACGCTCCTTTCCTCCCAATCGAACTCGCCACTTCCACCAAAACTGGGTGACTGCGCCCTACTAGATGGGGATTTGTATGCAAAATGTCACTAAAAGCGCCATTTCGTTCTTATAAAAGCACGGATGACCGCGATTGGCCCATATGTTGTAGTCTTTTGGACGCTGAGTCGACTGGTTTTGGTCCGAAAAGGCTGCGATGCAGCATTTGGCCCTTATTCCAAATCGAACACGGTTGAGTAAGCGGGCACGTGCTCACGCGTACACCAGTCGGCAGTCGCCTGGTCACCGTGCCTGCAGGCTACATCTTTCACACCAAGGTACAACTCAAAGGTTTTTAATTCGAGTGACAGAAGCACGCCCAAACAGGCTGTAAGTTGTAGCCTGCGGGCACGGCGACCACATGACTGGTGTATGCATGAGCAAGTGACCGCTCACTGCCCTTTAAAGGGGAAGTTAAGGCAAAAATTAAAATTTCACCAGTTGTAGTCTTCGGGGTGCTGAGTCGAATGGTCTTGGTCCGAGAAAGCTGAGACGCTCCCTTCCTACTTGAATCCCAATCGAACTCGCGCACTTCCACCGAAACTGGGTGACTGCGCCCTACGAGATGGGGATTTGTATGCAAAATGTCACTAAAAGCGCCATTTCGTTCTTATAAAAGCACGGATGACCGCGATTGGCCCATATGTTGTAGTCTTTTGGACGCTGAGTCGATTGGTTTTGGTCCGAAAAGGCTGCGATGCAGCGTTCCTCCTTTATTCCCAATCGAACATGGTTGAACAAGCGGTCACGTGCTCCTGCGTACACCAGTCAGCTGGTCACCGTGCCTGCAGGGTACAACTTACTAGCCTGTTTGACCTTTTTTGGATGCACTCCTGTCACTCGAGTTGAACTCGAGTTGAACCTTGGTGTGAAATTTGTCGCCTGCTGGCGTGGTGACCAGGTGATTTGGGCACCCAGGAGCACGTGACCGCTTGTTCAACCATGTTCGATTGGGAATAAAGGAGGAACGCTGCATCGCAGCCTTTTCAGACCAAAACCAGTCGACTCAGCGTCCAAAAGACTACAACATATGGGCCAATCGCGGTCATCCGTGCTTTTATAAGAACGAAATGGCGCTTTTAGTGACATTTTGCATACAAATCCCCATCTAGTAGGGCGCAGTCACCCAGTTTCGGTGGAAGTGCGCGAGTTCGATTGGGATTCAAGTAGGAAGGGAGCGTCTCAGCTTCCTCGGACCAAGACCATTCGACTCAGCACCCCGAAGACTACAACTGGTGAAATTTTAATTTTTGCCTTAACTTCCCCTTTAATATTAGAACGATATGGCGCTTTTAGTGACATTTTGCATACAAATCCCCATCTAGTAGGGCACAGTCACTCAGTTTCAGTGGAAGTGGCGAGTTCGATTGGGAACTTAGTAAAGGAGGAAGGGAGCGGCTCAGCTTCCTAGGAAAAAGGCCATTCGACTCAGCACCCCGAAGACTACAACTGGTGAAATTTTGTTAGGGTATACTTCCCCTATACAATGACGCAATCAAGTCCCTTTCCGCCGTTACTCAGAGTTTCGTGTGAAACACTCATTAGACAGCAGATCCTGTCTGATGAGTGTTGCACACGAAACTCTGAGTAACGGCGGAAAAGGACTTGATTGCACCATTGCTGTGTGATCATTGTATTACTGGCTCTGTTCGCTGGACATAGAGCACTATGCAGCCTGAGGACCTTAGACAACTGTCCAGTGAAATCCTGCTGTATTATTCAGGCTACGTCAATAGCACAAAGTAACAAATAATGGTGCCAACCATACGCAATAAAAAAAAAACATCAGCATGACGTGAAGTTTGTTGCCCAAGTGTCCCGACTGTCGCATGTACATGTTCCACTCACCTCCTTCGTCCAAGCACCTTTCACTAGGTCAGGACTGAGCACCTTTGTCCATCGCTGTTGACACTGGACCTCACTGCGGGTGCCCAGGGTCAGTGCTATTGTTCGCCAATCAGGCTCGGCACTATTAAAATTGGTAACCAATTCTCTCAGACGCTCATCCTAGCAAGAGACAAGAGATCGCAGCGAGCAATAGCTGTCGTAAAGCTGAAAGGGACTGCAGATATCGCCACAAATGGAAAAACCCGTGCTGCTACTATAATTATTACATTGTACAACTAAGGAACATGTGCAAGCAAAGTACATGTGTATCGTGAGTAGCAACTGACTAACCCATGCTGTCTGCACCGGAGTGACAGTGTTACTGGAACTGATCACAAAACTAACCTCCTCTTTTGTCCATCGTCCAGTCCGTTTGTTTTTTAGCAGCGCAGCGTTCCCCTCCCCTTCACTATCCCCCTCATAGCCGCTCGCAGTACAAATCTCCGCCATGGGGATCTTTGAATTGAAATCCAGATAAATTGCAGTTGGGAAGTTGGCTCTGTTCCACAGTTGCAGGTTACAACGAACTTTTCAAATCAAAATTCTGTGTAGGAGGTGCAAGGTCGGGAGCACTGTCACCGAAGAATAGTTTACTACTCTCAACAACTTCAACTGAGGAAAATGATGAGGACAATAAGGAGATCAAAGTCTAGGAGATAGAACTCTACGAAATTGGTATGAAAACTTCTTCAAGGCAGGCTAACTGCTCCGAAAGCAGAACTCCATGCTCCAACGAGAGGGACGGAAGGACCGGTGGCCGGCGGTGACTTGACCGTTTTTTGAACTTTCGCGCCCATCCTCAAAAAACAAGAAAAAAAAACTTCCATCACGCATGCGTACCGTATGAGCGCTACCTGCACCAAAAGCGTACTCGCGCGCCGCGCCGCATAGGGAGTTCAGTCACGTGACAAATCAGCTGAAAACAGCCTTCACGCGGGTCACGTACATTAGCATGGTAGCGGGTCCATGGACTTCGCTGCAGTTTTTTTCGAATTGCTTTGTCCTGCTTTCTTTTTCAAAGTTGAAAGTAACACGTTAGTTGGTGCGTTTATTATTATATCAATGTTCAACAGTACTCTTCGCAGCCTCTTTTGCAACACATAATGGCACAGTATGCAGCCATCGTTTTCTTTTTTCTTTACTCTATTTCACGCACTTACGGCTTTCTTAATTCAGCTCTATTTCACGCACTTACCTAGGGTACCCTGTAAAAAGACTCACAGTCTGTGGGGATTGCCCTAGTAAAATAATAAATACTACTACTACTACTACTATTATTATTATTTTATTTATTTTAATAGGGTGTTTCCCACAGACCTATGGTTTGATAGCTGAGGTCTTCCTGCTCGTTTTGGTGCCGCACTTGCTTGGGTAACTGTAGTTTGAGCTTTTTGTTGTGAGGAGTTATTATTATTATTATTATACGCATTCCCGCGGCAGCGTCAACCAAGCAGTTATGCTTGATCCACACGTTCGCTTATGCTGGACATTGAAACAAAGCAGATGTAGACAGCTCCTAGAGAATGGGGCTCTACAAAACCAATGATCGAAGTTAGTCCTTCAGTAACATGGAGCGTCATAAAATTGGTCTCATTGGAAAAATGTCATCACTATTGTCTCCTCATGTAGCATCATGGTCAATGGGTGGCCAGATAATTATACGTATGAGGTTGAGTTGCCAGATAATTATTAAAAGATTCAAATAGTAATATTATTATAGAATGGTTGTTATGAGTTTATAAGGGTGCCATGGCTGTTTCTACTCGTGACGAGGGTGTGCACAAACACTCTTCACCAGCGCGTTCCATGCTGGACGGTCCACAGCAATCCGCTCCAGACGGCGCAAGTCCTCAACACTCCGCAGGTGCCCATTGTTCGACTGGGACAGATCGGTGTGGAGCTTTATTGGTAGCGTCACCCTCGGCCTCCCGCGGTACCTCCCCTCGGGTGCCTGAAAGTATTGCTCCATGCTCAATCGTGCTGGCGTGTCCTTACCCAGGCGAAGCACATGCCCGAATAGACTCCAGCGTGAATTTCGGATCAAGTCTGACACCGGCTCCACTCCACATCGGGCATACAACGCCAAATTACTAATCTTTTGTGGCCATGTGATGCCGAGAAGTGACCTGAGTTGCCTTCTATGGAAAGCGTCCAGGGAGCGTTCGCTAGCAACCGTCAGGCCCCAGGTGCCTGAATTATAGAGAAGTATCGGCATGATAAAGGCGCAGTACAACCTCATACGCAGAGGCTCTCGGATCAGTCCTCGGCGCTTCCAAAGAGACCACATGGATCGGAAGGCAGCCTCGGCCAATTGCCTGCGACGTGTCACATCCTCAATGTCGCCCAGGAGTGAGCCCAGCTTTCGGGATGTCCTCCAGCGCTCGTCAATTCTGTCTACAGATCGACCCAGCTCTGTCCACTCAGTTTTGGTGTTGTTGACTCTCAGGGCCCACTGCCCGAGAGTGTGGTCTATGACCGGTTCGAGCTCTGTGAGCCATTGACGACTAAGGCTTATGAAATCAGTGTCATCTGCGTAGACAAGCTCAAATGGAATGTTGATGCTTTGATCCATTGGCGGTCTGTTTCGTGCCACCTGGGTGCTCCTCAGATCTCTCAGTGCTGCCTCTAAGTATATAACAAACAACACCGGGGAGAGAGAATCACCCTGCGGGGTGCCAATTGTAGTTTCAAGGGACTCTGATACTGCCCTGCCGATGCGTACCTGCAGAGTTGTGTTGGTCAACAGCACTCTAACCAGCCGAACATCATCCTCCGTCAGGAAAGACTCGAGAACTGTCAACAGTTTGTCACGATGTATACAGTCGAATGCTTTGGACATGTCGATTCCAAGAATGGTCATTTCCCGCCGATAATGCTGACATGTTGCTGCAAACCATCTGTGGCTCCAAACAAGGTCCGCTGTAGATCGGCCTGCTCTGAAACCACTCTGCGTCGGAGACAAGTACTCACCGACTTTCGACGATATTCTTCGCAATGTAATAATGGAGAGCGTTTTGCGTAATGATGTAAGGAGGACAATAGGGCGCAGATTTCCAGGTGGTCCAACCGTCTTTCCTGGTTTCTGCAACGGTACCAGTGTGCCACATCCCAGGTCAAGGTGCTGGTGAGTTGTAAACATGCTGTTGAACAGACAGGCAATGTGAGGTGCTAGGTTTTCTCTTCCATATTTCAAGAGTTCGCCTGGGACTCCATCTGGGCCAGGGGACCTTCCATTATTCAGTTTTTTCAGTGCGTTGGAGACCTCAGCAGATGAGATTTGTCTTTGGAGGCTTCTTGGGCGACCGGTGAATGGCTCGACGCCTGCATCCACATTCCCACGAAACTGGTCATGGAAGTGGCTCCGGACCGCAGATGCCGCCTCCTGGTCATCGGCTATGAAGCGACCCTTCTGGTCATGTACAATGGGCTTTCGGCTTGGCTTTCTGGTCATCAGCTGGACTGCTTTGAACATCCGTGCTCCATTCTTCAACCTCTCGACTTCCGCTGCTCTCTCTTGCATAATTTTCTCTGCATTGTCTCGGCATTTTGTTCTTATAGCGTGAAGGATTCTGTTTCGTTTCGTCTTGAGAGATGCTTTGGTGTCAGGGTTGTTAGTGCTACCAATGCTGATCCGCAGTGATCTCTGTTCCAGGGACAGCAGCTCAATTTCATGATCTGGTGCTTTACGACGAGTTTTCTGCTGGACTGTGCCAAGGACATCACCTGCTGCACTCCTGACCACTTCCATAAGCCTCCGGGATCTTTCCTGCAGGCCGGTATTGCCTTGGACCTGATCGGCAGCTAGCAGCTCACTGGCCAACTTCTCAGCATATTCCTCTTGGACTTGTCCTTCGGCTAGTTTGAATGTGTTGAACTTAGGCGCCTGCAGATCATCTTTCTTCCTCTGTCCAAATATTCCATATAGCCTCTGGAGGTCCAACCGCGCAACAACGAGCCTGTGGTCAGACGAGAGGGTGCATCCACCATAGCTACGACTGTCAAGGAGAAGCCGCGGGCCGCCTCTGGGTAGATTTACACAGCACGTAATCTATTTGGTTATACACAGGAACAGTAGCTCCACTGGCTCCATCCCTGCGATGTCCTGTACAAGTAGTCACATGCCGTGCATTATGCTGAAAGGCAGTGTTACAGATGAACAAGTCACTAGCATGGCAAAAGTCTATCAGGCTTTGGCCACTCAGGTTCCTTTTCCCTCTACCATGCCTCCCACAACATGTTTCTCTTGCATCCGACTTTTTCCCAACCTTAGCATTGAAGTCTCCAGCGAAGAGGACGATAGCTGACGATTTTATTTGATATATGCACTATTCAAGTCGGAATAGAATAGACCCTTTGCACAATAACGGTCACGTGATCCGAGACGGGGCATCCTCTTCAATTTTTGTGCAGAGTATCAGTTGTTGAGCATGGTGGAACACTGTATTTTTCCATTTTGGAGATGGAGGAGAGAGTGTCGAGTGGTTTGCCATCGATGGCTGTGGAACCCGTGGACGAACTGTCAAATGAAGAATGGTCTGTGAAGGAACTGAACAGTTTTCTGCTGAATGAGGGTGCGTATCTGTCTGGAAAAAGAAGGAGTCGTTGGAGCGGTAAGTTTTCCGCGTTCAGTGGATATTTCGGATTACTGTAGATTGAACTATTTTTCTTTTCTCTATCTTCTCTCTTCTGTCGATGTAGAGAACACTTCTCTATGCAGAACCCTGATGCTCCTAGAACTAAGAAGGGCACCACTTCCTCGAGTGTACCTTCATCATGCCCAACGTTTCATGCGTCCGACTCCCAGTGGATGAGTGATGAACCTCTGTTTCCCAGAGTGAGTGCCACACCATCCTTGCTCGTCTCCAACGCAGGGGCAAGTCGCCGACGACAGTGAAGAGGGAGCTGATGGAGTAGTACTAGTGAACAAGCCCGTGGATAGTGTCCATGAGTTCTACTTTGGTGGCTATGTGCATAATGTGAAAGTCGGTCATATCGTGCACACAGCCACAGCTCGAACTCAGATGACTTTCTCCGCACACCTGAGCGATGAGGTTGCGTCTCTCTCCACTTCTACATCAGCAGCTCGAGCAGCGCCAGCAAGCAGTCAATCTTCCAATAGCGAAGACAGGGATGGGTCATGCCTTTTTCTCAAGCTCCCGAGTCTCTTGGCAGGGCGTTCATTATCTTAGCAAAAACAAGGATGAAAATCGTTCCGAGCACAACACTGTGAACGATATCGCAGCACTGCGGCCCTCTTCTCGCCAGATAGCCAGGATTCCAGAGTGTGGAATGCCAGCATCACCAGGGAACGCATGGAAAGACGAGTGGGTTCCTTAGACTAACGTTAGGGATGACGGTTGCTGCAAACAAGAACCCAACAGTGGTCCTTGGAAAGCACTTCGAAACTTCTTCCTTCAAAACTAAAAAAACTTCAAATGAAAAAAGGCTGGGGAGTACTTACATGAACATCGCGTCGGGACCGTGAAAACACAGCCTGTCACAGGAAACTTGATCACGTCCTGCAGCAAACCATGCATGCTGGTTGCATGCCAAGTGTACAGCGCGTGCACAGCATGCCCCGTCTCGACCCCTCTCGCTTATTGTGCAAAGGGTCTATTTGTCCAATTCATCAGCGTCGCGGGCAACTAACGAAGACGTTGGTGCGTACACATTGATAATGGCGAGAGTGGATGCCTTGGTGCCTCCATTGCCCGCCCGTGAAGGCAGGTTGATAGTCAGCACAGCCACTCGGTCCGACGTTGAAGCTCCAATATTTCTGAATTTGCGACGATAACGAAGACGACACAACAAATGCAAGCCCATAGTGGCGACATTGAGGTGCCAGGGCGATAAGTCGATAGCCGTCCTTCTCAGTGTCAAGGCTGCCAGTCAGCTTTGTTTCCTGAAGACAACACAAGTCGATACGATAGCTTTTTAGGTCGCGTCGCAAGGCGTCCTGACGGAAATTTGAGTTCAGCCCGCGGACGTTGAAGCTGCCTACGGCAAACGGCCTGCGCTTCGGCTTTCTTCCGCCCATTCCCAGTATCCTAGCCAGTCGTCATGTCCAATAAATACAGAACTCTCCCGCTCCAAAGTGGAGGAGCAGGAGAGAGAGAGAACGCAACTTCCCTCAACCGATCAGTTGTGAGGAGTGTAGTTTTTAATTGGATTTTTCATCCGTTTGGAGGGAGTACACGGCCAGGAAACACCCACCATCGTGTTCAGCGACCTCGAATTATGTAGAATAGTGCTTTCTTCTCGAGCTGGGGGATCGCTCTTCATCGCGCTTTCAAGACTTTCACCTCCTGGTCGCCCAAAATGAATGAATTTCTGGACCCAATATGTTCAAGCGCTAGGAGTGTTTCATATGATTTGTTGGCCCTAGTGAAAGATTGCACCTGACGGAGACTTGCGACAAAAGTGAGCTACGATGTAGACAATCATAGAGTTCTGGCAGGACTTTATGGCTGAATCAAGGCCGAGTGCATACGGCCAAGGGCGCAGGCCAAGGCGCGTAGCGCCGAGGCCTGCGCCCGCGGCCGTGCGCACGAGGCCTTGATGAAGGCGGAAAGTCCTGCCAGTACTCTATGATCGTGTTTCAGGTTTCCACTTACATCCTTTGAGCCGCGTAGACGGTATAACTATAACTTTATAAGCGCGATACCACATACTGACATAGAGTGGATGTTGGGGACGTGGTGGCTAGACCTGTTGCCTTTTTCTACAGGCATGCCCAATCTACATGATTGTAGACCTGGTTTCAACCATGTACTTACTCTACTCTCCTCCAAAGCCAAGGACGGCAAGGTCCTGACTCGAGTCGAGATGAACTGAGATGGCAACGGAAAACTGACGCAGACCCCTGCACTGTAGAGCTAGGCTGACAGACAGCGTGCGGGCCTTTATCGGCTCATCAAGGCCACCGCGGGAACGTCGCTCATTGGCTACAACCATGGAAACGGCACTGTAAAAACCTGAATTTGTATTCGACTCGTCGCCTTGAAACCAGAAAGAAATTGCTATGGAGTGGTGCTCTGACATGGATCGCGTCAGTGATTGGATTGCACGCATATTTCACTATTGTGCATTGTACATGTAAAATGTACATGTAAATGTACATGATTGATCAACTGTGTGACAGCCGCAGTAAAGTTGGGCATCTGAAGACCAAACTGTTGTATTAAATTTTATTATTTTGTACATGTATAATACAACCATAGCCATCAGGCATCAGTGCTCACTTCAATTTTCATAGTAATCTGTCCCCGGGGAAAATTGCGGAAAAAAATCGCAAAAAACGCGGGGAAAAACGCGGCATAATATGGCATAATTTGCGGTAAATATGCGGTAAATATGCGGTGAATAATATTGATGTGCGGCAATTTTCAGTGAGTATGTAGTGAAATCAATCAGTTACAAGTCTCTGGTGTAAGCACTCGTCATATTTGAGTAAAAAGCCGCCACGATGAGACGTTGCTGACCGAACAGTGCACTGTGTGTACGTGTAGTGCAACAAAAAAGTTCAAAAAACGCGGGAAAATCGCGGAAAACGCGGTCTTTTAAAAAATCGCAAAAAACGCTGAAAAAAACGCGGCCGCCTAATTGCAATTTTCCCCGGGGACAGAGTAATGGAACTCGTGTTCAATGGATTTAGCATTGTTGCTATGGTGGTTGCTACGGGCGCCGCGCTCGTTCTCATTGGTCATCGCTTGCCGTAATATTATATTTTGATCAATATTACTAGGACTAACCAACCTGTATTATTATTATTATTATTCACACATATCCGCCGGATGAGTACGCGTGGCCCATGCACCATGGGGACCCACGAATACAAACCAGCATATGTTCCCTCAGCAATACAAGCAAGCAAGCACGCAAAGATAAATGAGAGCCCAGGCAGCGAAAACAAAACGAAGAGAGATGAGGACATAGGCAACGAAAACAATTCCAAAGCATAGCCAGGGATTGAATGTGTGCATCTGGGTACGACAGTTAACACGGCTAGTGCAGCCGTACAGAGCGCAGCAGCATGTAAATACAAAAGCGCCACAGCAGCAGCAGCCAAGAGTGTGCAAACACTAAAAAATAAGATCAGTCCATGAAAAAATGTTGTCGCCACAGGTAGACATCTCCGGCAAGAATGCATGCGTGCGCACAAGTAGGCAGGCAAGCATGTCAGATGTAATCGTATTATTATGGCCAGGCTAATTAACAGTGCTGTTTCGCAATGAATTCCATCGGCATTTATCATACGCCACCTTCCGAAGCTGGGCTAGGCCAGGTCGCGACAGAAGCACAAGCCCCAGCTTCTCCCGACAATCCAGTGAGAGAGTGGTTAGCAGTGTTGTTCTTGGTCTGCCTATCCTTCCCCGCAAGGCACCAGAAGCAGCAAAATCGAGAGCGACCTGTATTGCACCTATATTACACCTATATTGCACCTACAAGCCAGATTTCATAGCATTCAGATTTCTGACAATATTGTAATGTTGCTAAGCGTTTGCTAGGCTTTCCGGAAAACCCTGTTGGTGCCACAGCAGTATGGCATTCCGAATACATCATGATGAAGGTTGGCGTATGACTTTGACGCCTCGTATCTCTGGTATCCTTCAAGATTTTTCATCCAAATTTTCTGTGCTATCTCCTGTACTGTAGTTCTTCCCGAAAACAAACGGTTTTCTTGGTTTACTACGAAAGAAAAAATACGGTGATATCCCTACAAATACTGTGCACATGTGGTACATATAATAGCTACAGACCGAGTCTTGAGATGTTGTAATAAATATAATTATAACTACACACACAAGTCTACAGTATAGTACAGGATCTAGGAATATTAGTAGTATTTTTACTACTCCGGCCATGCAAACAAGACTGCTTTGCTCCGCGCCGAACGTATGACATGACTACCGGTATGTCCAGCGTACATCGCGATATCGCGCGACTTCCCGCGACCCGAACGCGCATCCATCGTGGAAGAACGAGTCGTAGATCTACTCGACGTCATCTGCGATCTGGTCATGATCACTACAAAAAGTACAAACACTGAAACAGTGTACAGACAGTGTACGCTCGTACATCATCAGCATTTTCGAGACAAGAATTTAATTTTGCGCGAAATGACATTTTTTGTTGCTTTTTGTGCAACAACTACTTCAATCTTCATGCCCTTTTTGAAAACAACTGACCTTTGACTTTGTTTGTCCAGCTTGTCTTTGTCCAAATCCAAAGCAGTAGGCTGGGGTATTATCTTCGTCTTGCAGTCCGGATTGTATAATCTTATGGTTGCAGATAATACAAGGCAAGGTTTCAGGGCACAGAAAAACAAAAAGTTAGCTTTTGCTACGTGGAAAGGATGGCAAGTGCAATTTCTTGTAGAACCCGTTCCCGATTTATTGGCAGCCTGAGTCGATGCTCAGGAGCTGTCAGGCGACAGAGCTCTGCCCGGCCTTTGACGGAGTTCACTGATGATGAGATTATGTTGAAGGAGTCTGTTGCGAGATTCTCGAAGGAGCAAGTGCAGCCATATGTCACAGAGATGGACAAAAATTCAGAAATGCGTCCAGAGATCATCAGTGGCCTGTTTGAGCAGGGTCTAATGGGAATTGAAATTCCATCAGAGTTCGGTGGGCCAGCGATGCCATTCTTTTCAGTGGTCTTGGCCATTGAGGAACTGGCTAAGGTCGACCCATCTGTGAGTGTATTATGCGATGTACAGAATACTCTCTTCAACACAGCCTTTTTGCAGTGGGCTACACCAGAACAAAGGAAACAGTACTTGCCACGCATGGTAAAGGACACGGTCGGCGCATTCTGCCTGTCGGAGGCCGGCTGTGGGTCAGATGCATTTGCTCTGCAGACAAGAGCAGTTGCTGATGGCGATGACTATATCCTCTCCGGTGAGAAGATGTGGATTACCAATGCCGGCTATGCTGGTGCATTCCTTGTCTTTGCCAATGCCAATCCGGAAAAGCGCCATCGAGGAATTACTTGCTTCATTGTTGATCGTGATATGCCAGGAGTGTCTGTAGGCCCTCCAGAAGATAAGCTTGGTATTAGGGCATCATCAACATGCGCTGTGCGCTTGGATGGAGTACGAGTACCAAAAACCGCCATAATGGGAGAGTTGGGCAAGGGTTACAAATATGCCATGGAAATTCTCAATGAGGGCCGGATCGGCATTGCCGCACAGATGCTTGGCCTCGCTGAAGGTGCTGTTGAATCCACTGTCCCGTATCTACAAGACCGCAAGGCATTTGGCCAGCGCCTCCTAGATTTCCAGGCGATACAGCACCAGATTGCTGAAGTGACAACACGTATCGAAGCAGCACGCGTCATGATCTACAATGCTGTGCGACTAAAGGAGAACGGCTCTTCTTTCGTGAAGGAAGCGGCAATGGCGAAATACTTTGCCACAGATGTAGCGGCACAAGCGTCTGCGCGCTCTGTCGAATGGCTGGGAGGTGTTGGCTATACCAAGGCCTTCCCTGCAGAGAAGTTTTACCGTGACTGCAAGATTGGTGCTATCTATGAAGGCACGAATAACATTCAGCTGAATACCATCGCTAAATTTATTGAGCAATAATCCAGTGGATGGTTAGTCCTACACGCAACCTCACAAGTTAGTGGCAGTGCTCATGCCTCAACTTTACAAGTAAGTAGCCCACCGGGAAAATAGGGACAGAAATTTTTATGTTGAGTATATATTTGCTGTACATTTATAGGGTGCGTCTCACGGTCTGAGAGGATCCTCTCTATCTACCTATCTTTCTCTCCCTCCCTCTTTCTCTCTCTCTCTCCCTCTTTCTCTCTCTCTCTCTCTCTCTCTCTCTCTCTCTCTCTCTCTCTCTCTCTCTCTCTCTCTCTCTCGTTTCGATAAATGATCCATTTTTTATCGTTGAACATTTTGATAGGAAAGTGTCATTTGTATATTTCTACAATTCTTAGAAGTGCACAATTTGCACTCATGTACATGATGGTGCAGCATTAGTTCCACTTAATATCAACTTCGAATGTGAATCCCCTTCCTCGTTGTTCCTCGTGGGCTGGTGGAGCTGTGCGTTCCACATGCTGGTCTTGCCTTTTGATCTTGTGTGCTTGTCATTAGTCTGCGAGTTATGATAGTGGCTGTGCGTGTTGCTGCTGGCACCATTGTTGCTGCTGCTGCTGCTGCTGCTGCTGTTGATACCACTGGGCGTGTTCCTTCTAAATTGGTTTGTTGTGCACCCACTGTAGGGTGAGTCAATAGTGAGGTTTTCCTCTACGTGACGGAAACACAATGCGAAGATTTGAGTACTCGCGTCATTGGGCTCTACGCATTCCAAAGAAGATGATTTTGCTCTGCGTTCCCGCAAAGAAATCACGTGGAATGTGTACTGCGAATTTCTCGCTCCAAATGTGACAGTTTTCTAATAACCTGCTTCCAAATTTGAACTATGCAAAGTCTCTATGTTTGGCGTGAAGGAGAACTTCTCTAATATGAATAGGATAGAGGCAATGTGTCGCCCATTTCATATCGGGTGGATCTGGTGATTTGCTGTGACAATCTTCACTACTATTTCAAGGTTAGTAGAAGGAATGTTATGAGTATTCTTCATCCAGGTGATGACTGTAACTCAAGTCACTTGTGTTCAATGTCTGTTCATGTGAGTTATGTCTCTATGTTGCGTGAAGGATTGCTTGGTCGGACTGCTCTTGCACAGCAACGAAGAGCATGGAAATCCCTCCACTGTAGACCACGTGCAGTGAAACTTAAGTGTGACTACCTCCGAGGGATGTAAAAATCGGAAATCTATAGCTGAGGTAGACTGACTGGATATGGATTGGAGGGCCTTCACTCTTCAAAAAGTAGTTTATACTCGGTGCAAAGTGAAGATTAATAGCCTATGATGAAAAGTATAAAGACCACAGGCATCACCACGTAACATGACACTTGTTTGGCCTCGTCACACTTTCAACTCTTACAGTATTTGCAAAGTGAACGTATGTTGTAACCAGGGAGTCGTAAAATATTTATTTTACGACTCCCTGGTTGTAACCATGCATGCAGGATACTTCATAGTTTATACCAGGGAGTAGTACTGTACTATTGTACTACTCCCTGGTTTATACTGAGATTTCACTGTACCTGTACTCTACATACAATCATTGCCGTGATACCAAGAGCAGGGAGTCGTAAAATACCGGTATTTTACGACTCCCTAACCAAGAGTACATACTGTCATCTGTGATACTGTCATTACTGATCATGCCAACCTCCCTGCCTAGCCCTGCCTGGGAGCTTTATCAAACGAATCCTTCCCATGGCATGCACCTCGTAGGCAACGTGTTCGGCTTTGTTCTGTGCATTGCATCCACGAAACCCATTGCATCCTGTCCTGACTGCAGAGTCTGCAATCTTGGCATGTATTACTGTGTGTACGAGTACGAGTAGCTGTGTGTACCTCGCGTACATATGCATATGATCAGATCGCGCGTGACCGCAGAACAAGCTGATGAACCAGATCTTGAAACTGAAAGGCCCCGGCCGGCCTACCTAGTAGTACCTCGCAAGGCCAAGGATCACGAAAAATGCGTTGGGTTGCACAAAAAATGCTACATTCCGGAAGTTTTACCGAAAGTGACTGCGGTGTTTCACGTGCGCTTGCGTCGACAAGAAGATTTGTGGTGGAGAAGAAGCCTAGCATGGTTACATCTCCGTTATGAATGGAGCTTCGTCGCCCAATGGCTTGCCCATTCAAGGACCAATGACTAATGGCCAGCATGAGCCCAGGTAAGCCTGATGTTTGCTTCCAGAGGCTGATGGAAAATGAAGGGAGGAATTGTTGTTGTAAATGCCGAAAATCCAGGGCGTGGCTCACCAGCATGGCCCCTTTGTCTTGCACCTTTGATCCCATTGTGTGATTATCAATCTTTCGAAGGCAAGGGCTATGCTGGCCGCCTCATGTTTTGTGTTTTTCTTACAATAGAGTTGCATTTTGTTACCCAAGACAGAGTTTGTCCAACTCAAAGTTTTCGTCTCCTGTTGCAGCGTACTCTTTTTATTTTTGGCAATATACTAATTTTCAGCCCAACTTGGCATGATATCTTCTCCATCAAGATGTTATTTCTATTTCGCCCTTTGCTTATTTGATGCGGTAAATGACAATTCGAAGAGTCTCGTCAGATATTTGTTCTGCTTTTGCATTCGTATTTTGCTCTTTCATTCACGTGTTGCTTCTCTTTGTCTATCGCTGTTTTGTGTTTTTCAGCAATGGGCCCGAGTCACCACAGAGTCCCAGCGTCGGCGAGGGCTCTCCGGTACCGGACGACTCCCTGCCACATCCCGGACAAGTATATTCCGTAACCGTGGTGGCAGCATGTGGTTGTTGCTTGCTGTGGGCAGTGCGTGCTGACAGTGACAGTGATGAGAAACGAAAGAAGATCAAGACCAGGTTGACGGAGTACTCCGCCGCCGGCGACAGTTCTCAGCGGCTTGCAGACTTCAATGTGGGTCGTATGTGTGCTGCTCGCGGCCAGGATGGAGCGTGGAGACGAGGTCGTATCAGTAGTCCGCCGTTCGCGGTAGGCGAGAGCCATTGGAGCGTCTCTGTTCAATTCGTGGACGATGGTGTTTCTGAAGTTCTTGCCACGAGTGGCTTGCTGCAATTGCCTGAGGATATGCTGTTGTCTGTTGTACCAGCCCAGGCAATAAAGCTATGGTTACATGGGTTGTACCCATCTACGGAGGGCCAGCACAACAGCGAGATGGCTATGTCAGTCCTGAACAGCATGACGCAGGGCCAGAAGTGTGATGCTGAAGTGTGCCATGCATCCAGAGAAGGTGTCATCTATGTACGTCTGACCAAGGATGGGCAGAGCATCAATGATGCATTACTCACTACGCCGTTCGTCGAACCATACCAAGGTAGAGGCGGAAGTGCTGGTAGTAAACGTGCCAACGAGTCATTTCCAAATAGAAGTAACAGTGCCGCCAACAAGAGACCGTCGACACCTGTCACTCCGGGTATGAACCGTGGTCCACCTCAAGCAGTGATGCCGGGATATTCGGCTGTCCGCATGCAGGGCCCCAACAGACCAACGACAAGTGGCTTTCACAAAGGCATTGGCACAGACCCCAGTGGCTACACGATCATGCAGCTAACTGGTAGCCCTACTGATGTCCGTCTATGCTCAATCACAGAGTTTGCCCACTTCTCTGTTCAGATTGTCCGTCCAGATCTTCAGCAGGGTCTACAACGCCTCAACAGTGATATGGATGCGCTTCATGCCCGGACGAAGAATGCTAGTTACACTCCTCGTGAGGGCGATATCTGCTGTGCCAGGTTCAGAGCTGACCGCCGATTCTACCGAGCACGTGTTGAGCATGTTCATGCAGATGGTCGTGTTGATGTTACCTTTGTGGATTACGGTAACCGAGACAGTGTGCCTGTCAGCGACCTGCGGCACATGAAACGTGAATTTGGTACACTCCCGTTCCAGGCAATCTCCTGTGCACTTGCAGGCGTTGTTCCGGCAAATCCTGCAGGCGTATGGCCACCTCCTGCTCGAGACATGCTACAGCGTCCTGGACGACTTGTCGCTCGTCTTGTCATACCACCGTCATCACCAAAGAGTCCATGTTTGGTAGAACTCTACGACCGTACACCAGGATTCAATGTTCTGCTCAATGACGAGCTGGTACTTCGCGGCCACGCCTTGCCTGCTGATGTGACTGCACCTTCACCTGTTTTAACTGCACCCACTACACCCGTGTCGCCCACCAGTCCCGCTCCAGCCACCTTCCCAATATCTACCACATCCGGAAACAGCACTGCTCGCACTCTGCGTGATGACCGTGCTGTGCAGCTAACAGCAGGCAAAGTCTATAGTGTGGAAGTCGTGTATATTCACCATGTCGGTATGTTCTACTTGCGTCTAGCTGATGAGACACTGAGTCAGCAGCTTGTCGAGCTTAATAATCATATACACGAAGTGTGCTCATCTCCATCGAGTTACGACGCATCTTTCCACCCGTCTGTCGGTGAATTGTGCTGTGCGCGCTTCAGTGATAACGGCCGCTACTATCGCGCTAAGGTCCATCACCTGTGTCTGGGCGACACCAAGGTCGTTGTGTATTATGTTGATCTGGGTCAGAGAGAAGTCGTCTCCTACACTGAAGTGCGGCCAATGACTAGCTCAATGATCCAGTTGCCTTTCCAAGCCATCCCAGCTAGTTTCTACAATCTCACCAAGGGTACTGGCCAATGGCCTGAAGAAGGCAAACGTCTTCTCCACCAGCTAACAAAGAGCAAGGCTGTCCGCTGTGTGTGCCATGGTGGACAGATGACATACAGGGTGGAACTGTTTGACGATGCTGAGCAGGAGAGCCCACTAGATATCAGAGCTGCTCTTCAACTCGCTGGTGTGGGACGAATCATCACCACAGCTGCTGATGCAAAAGCGGCCGCTGCTGCAGCAGCAGCAGCCGCGGCAGCCACCAGTGACAAGGTTGAAACGAATCGTCTTCAGTTGTCAACCATGTCCTTAAATCGCCCATCATCGTCACAGCAGCGCTTTATGGTAGAATCGTTGAAGAGAGCAGTATTACCGACTGATGGGTCACATGTTAATGTTGTCGTCACCGATATCACTAGTCCGTCGCTCTTTTGGGTTACGTGTGTGGATAATGTTGGTGCTCTAAACAACTTGCTACAAAGTATGGCCACATCTTATCCGGCTGATGCGGAACCACATCGACCTCTAGCTGGTGAGGTGTGCGCTGCACGATTCTCCGGTGATGGTGCCTGGTACCGAGCTTTAGTCACCAGCGTGGCAGACACATTCATCCAGGTCACGTTCGTTGATTTCGGTAACTCGGAAACAACAACAATCAATGCTCTTCAACCCCTCCGGCCAGAGCACTCCTCGCTTGCACTGCAGGGTATCCGCTGCTGTTTGGCTGGCGTTAAGCCTATGCATGGTGCTGAGTGGGATGCAGAGGCGACTGGACAGTTCCGACAACTAACTGAGGGTGTTCGCCTTACTTGTCACTCAACATCGCAACGTAGCGGCCACCGCTTCTCCATCCATCTTGCCCTCGCATCAGCCCCTAATGAAGTCATCGCCACACGCCTCATCTGCTCTGGCTATGCCGCAAGCAACACTTCATAGTAAGATTCATCCTGATCATAAATCCTTTTTGTTGCGATTTCAATACTTCTCGTGTTGAGCTCTCATGTAAAGCACCATGCATATCATTTCCTTTCTGTCATTCTAACATCCTAGCCAAGAAGTTCCACAGTCATATTCAATTGAATATGATTCATCTTAGTGTCCAAAATCATAACCTTTTTTTCCGCGAACAGTAGTCCCTTTGGGACGTTTTCTTTTTGAAAAAGCAAGAAATATTTGAAGTAGATCTGCTAACCCTATCAATGCTGCCAAAAAAAGGGCTTTGATCAGGCCCACTGTACACAAACAAACATGTTGTGAACCAACCACTGAAATATATTTTAGACTGTAATAATAGTAATGGCATCATACTGCCTTTTCCCCTTACATGGATACTCAATATTATTTCTTATCTCGAGGTATTTCGAAAGATACCACCCATGTTGTTTGAAACCATCACTTTGCCTCCTTTTCTTGCCGTGTCTGGTGTGCTCTTGGGCACCTGTGTGTGTGTGTGTGTGTGTGTGTGTGTGTGTGTGTGTGTGTGTGTGTGTGTGTGTGTATTCCCATGGCCGTGCGGTGGTGTTTTGCAGAAATCACAATGTAGGCCGAGAATGCAGTTTTTGAAATAACATTACTTGTGCTGTTGTCCTAGCCATCTTTTCAATCAGCCTGGATGTGTAGTCTCTCTCTCTCTCTCTCTCTCTCTCTCTCTCTCTCTCTCTCTCTCTCTCTCTCTCTCTCTCTCTCTCTCTCTCTCTCTCTCTCTCTCTGGTTCCAATCATGGTGCAACATAATACTTCAAACACACGCAGTATTTTCCAAATAGAGAGGTTATGCAAATAATGTCACCACGGTGAGTTAGCGCATTCGCTTCTAGACGCAATAAGTATTTAGCAGGATTTAGTGGGTTCACTTGAGAATCAAGCCAGCTAGCCCATGATTACGAGCAGCGTCACGGCTTTGTCACTCCATCCAAAGCAGCTCAACTGATACTGTACGGTGCACTTGGCTCATTTTCTATTGGATAGTTTCCGTGTTTGCACTAGACAGTAGTAGACAGATACTCGAACCGCCACGCTTTCCTTTCTTCGTGAAAGGTGCGACTTACTTTCGGCCGCATACGGTTAGCCTCCTAGAGTAGTGGTGCACTGTGCTGGGAGAATTTCAAGTCCACCTGGGTCATTTTTGTGATGCATTGAACACGTCTTTCCAACATGTCTAACCATTCACATGTTCTGTTCATGACTGTTATCAAGAGTACATAACCCCCTGGTTATGTACTCTTATGTACTCTTGCTGTTATGAATACAAGTAGCAAGGCGCTAGTCGTATACGACTCATTGGTTTCCTTCTGGCTCCCTCTCCAGACTCCAACTTGCCACGTACTGTGGCATCTTTTAAAATGTGCCCAGTACGCCCTTCTCAGCGTCGTTCCGTTAAGCTTTGCTGTTGCCGTGCATGCATTATATCAGGGTATGCCCCCTCCAGGCCTTGGCAGATAATGCTCGAAAAATTGTAAGATTCTGCTCACAAAACATTGAGATTGGCAGAACCATACAAAGCTTTCAGACTTATATTTTAAAGTTACTTGAAGGATTCTCCAAAAGTACATTATTATTATTATTAAATTTTTGATAGGGTAATCCCCACAGGCCTAAGGCCTTGTATATGGATACTTATCGGGGGTGGCTGCTTTGGTGGCAGCAACAACTTCCTCGATAGATCTATCGGTATGCGGTTCGCAGTCGTACAGGTACTAGTGAGGGGGTAAACCTTGCCATTGCAGTTTGGCGGAAATTGTCGGCAGAACCCCCCCCCGGGACAGCCAAACATCTAGGAGCACAATCTGTCACCCGTGCAAGAAATTCCGCACAGCGGTAATGCTGCAATCAAATCGGTACATAATGTATGTACATGTACCGTATGTCCATATTCTGTGGCTGCGAGAAAAAGATGGATGAACAGAAAGAAGAGGAGCAGAAATCTGAAAATTCGAGGAATTACGCGCCATGCACTTCTGTTGTTTGTCGCATGCATGTATAACGATAATTTCTCTTGAGCAATGTTTCTGCTAAGTCTTTTCTCTTGACAAAACTGTGAGCCGTTGGTAATGCGGATGTGCAACTTTACTTTTTTCCCTTGACCCCTTTTTCACTCCCCCCCCCCACTTTCGGAAACATTCCCTCTCCAGTCAGCCAACACGGAGGCTCATGCTCGTCTGGATTTGGCCGCATGTGGAGTGTATGGGAGTAGGTTAGAGAGGACAATGTTTGATGTTCGGGTGTTCAACCCTTTTGTCCCCTCCAACTGAAACCTTACTATCTTGTCGACAGAAAGCACGAGCAGGAGAAGCGGCTGAAGTATGAACGGCGAGTCCTTGAGGCGGAGCATTCCTTGTTTGTTCCCATCAGGGTCCCTGGGCGGCAAGGGAAACTGCTTCGGTTAGCCCTTGGCGGATTATGCTCGGTAAATCGCTGAACTAAGCTTTCCATTATGCCCAAATTATGCCAGTGATTATGCTACATTATGCCGGAATTATGCCATAATGTCCCCAACCAGATTTCCGAGCCAATCGGTGCTAGACTTAATCTTACTACCCCGTACAATTTATCCACCAGCACGCATCTCTCATTCCTCAGGGAGACAGAGCATCATCTACCATGGCTGTTCCGTTGAGCCATGCGACGCTTCCGATCATCAACTAGTAGTTTTAGAGCTGTTGGCTACATCGCACTCTGCGCCGCAGAATCCACCAGTCAGAACCCGGAAGCCTCCAATAAGAACCATAAACGCACAGGCATTCCAGACAGAGATCACTTCGAAGATGTCAATCGTCGAGAACCAACCAACTGACCTCAATGCAAACATTGAACTTTTTCAGGGCTCCATCACTGAAGCACTTGATCACCATTGCCCCGTGAGGATAGTTACCTTTTCCACTAAGTATAAACCCGCACCATGGGTCGACGACGAGCTACGTAAACTGCTCTACCGCAGAAAACGAGCTCATAGACTCCTGCTGAAACAGCCGGGTGACCAGCAGCGAATCCAGTCTTTCCGAGCGCTTCGCCGACAGTGCAAAATCACCATGCGCCGAAAGAAAGCCAATTACTTTCAGGCCGAGTTTATTAACAACAGACGGAACCCTAGACGTCAGTGGAGCGCTATGAACAGCCTACTTGGCAGAACGAAAGTCAGCCGTGAGCCTGGAGCTAGTATTGCAGACATTACTTCTGTATTCTCAGAAATAGTTGGACCTTTGCTGCCGACAGAGACTTCTGACGCCCTGACGCTGGCATCCGTGCCTGATCAACCATCCAACATTCTACCTGGTCTGCCGTGTGGCCCCCAGTCAGACGGCACTCTAGTTTCTTTTACCCGAATCACAGCGGAGGACGTTAAGTTCCATCTCCGTGCTATGGACAGTCGCAAAGCAAGCGGTCCTGACGCCATCCCCCCGCTCGTTTACAAACTTGTGCCTGATCAAATTGCACCAACGCTTGCCTCTCTCTTGTCGTTATCCCTCGAAACTGGAGAATTCCCAACGCCCTACAAGCTAGCACATGTCCGTCCGATCCACAAACGTGGGGACGCTTCCGACCCTCGCAACTACAGACCCATCTCCCTCCTTCCTCTCATGTCCAAACTTCGCGAGCGGTGTGCGCTAGAGCAACTTACGCAATACATGGATAGCGCCAGTCACATGGAATCCCTCCCTGCAGTTCAGTTTGCGTACCGCAAAAACCACTCCTGCGACGATCTTCTCGCTCTGGTGGCAAATGATTGGAGTCAAAGTCTAGACCAGAACGAGTATGTGGCTGCAGCTTTCCTCGACATGTCGAAAGCCTTCGACACTGTCAACCACAGTTTGCTCCTCCAAGAACTGTTCGAGATTGGCGTGGGAGGGGTTGCACTGCGTTGGTTCGCATCATACCTCACTGACCGGCAGCAGAGAGTTGTCACCAAGTCTAGCAGAGGTGCCTGTTATTCTGCCTCCAGAGGTGTACCTCAAGGATCTATCCTTGGACCTGTCTTGTTCAATCTTGCTGTCCGCAAACTGCCAGAGTGTGTTGCTAGTACCAAGGTCCGTCAGTTTGCTGACGACGTTTCTGTCTACAAATCCGGAAGGGATCCACAGAAGCTCACTGCAGACTTGGCCAGAGACGTTCTGTCAATCCGCAACTTCCTCCGGGACCACGGCCTTAAACTCAACGCGGAAAAGACACAGTTCATCATATTCCGCCCAAAGTCCAAGGCGGTCCCAGCTAATCTCCAATTGTCAATTGACAGCACTAGCATACCGCCTTCAGCCACGATCAAATACCTTGGCCTCCTGTTCGATGAGCATCTTACGTACCGAGATCACATCACGCTCCTGGAACGCAAGATAGGCACTAAACTCGCTGTGTTCAGGAAAATCAAACACAATCTAACACCTGCTGCCAAACGAGTCTTCTACTGTTCCTTCATTCAAGCCCAACTTGAATCCGGCTCTAATGCATTTGCGCACAGCCTCCAAGTCTCACAAATGGACCGCATTACTCGTATCTCCAACCGTGCTGTTCGGATTGTCTTCGGCTACCCGAAGTACTACGATGCTTCTCTTGTTCTAGCTAGGAACTATCTCGCTGCTATCTCCCTTAGATATCAATTTCGCCTGTTTGTACTGGTGTTTCGAGCCCTCCATAAGTTGTGCAGTCCACTACTCTCGACCTGCTTCCTCCCTCGCACTGCCACTTCACAAACCTCAGCCCGTACACGCTCTCGATCCACTTTGTCACTTAGTCTTCCTTTAGTTTCTCGCCGCTATGGTTTATACTCGCTTAGCTTTCTTGGTTCTGATCGTTGGAATGCGCTTCCTGCTGATATTCGCACAATCTCCTTGCTCAGAAACTTCCGTTCATCTATTCAACAATTCATAGGGTACCCTGTAAAAAGGCCCTAGGCCTGTGGGACTGCCCTATTCAAAATTTAATAATAATAATAATAATAATAATGCCAATGATGGTGCTATACTGTACCCTTGCTATGCACTCTTGTTGCACTTTGCAACGTTACAACTCTGGCACCATGACAGCACGGCTCATGGGGTAACATTCACATAACATTTAAAGGGGAAGTATACCCTAAAATCAAATTTTCACCAGTTGTAGTCTTCGGGGTGCTGAGTCGAATGGTCTTGGTCCGAGGAAGCTGAGGCGCTCCCTTCCTACTTGAATCCCAATCGAACTCGCGTACTTCCACCGAAACTGGGTGACTGCGCCCTACGAGATGGGGATTTGTATGCAAAATGTCACTAAAAGCGCCATTTCGTTCTTATAAAAGCACGGATGACCGCGATTGGCCCATATGTTGTAGTCTTTTGGACGCTGAGTCGACTGGTTTTGGTCCGAAAAGGCTGCGATGCAGCGTTCCTCCTTTATTCCCAATCGAACATGGTTGAACAGGCGGTCACGTGCTCCTGCGTACACCAGTCACCTGGTCACCGTGCCTGCAGGGTACAACTTACTAGCCTGTTTGACCTTTTTTGGGTGCAGTCCTGTCACTCGAGTTGAACTCGAGTTGAACCTTGGTGTGAAAGTTGTCGCCTGCTGGCGCGGTGACCAGGTGATTTGGGCACCCAGGAGCACGTGACCGCTTGTTCAACCATGTTCGATTGGGAATAAAGGAGGAACGCTGCATCGCAGCCTTTTCGTACCTAAACCAGTCGACTCAGCGTCCAAAAGACTACAACATATGGGCCAATCGCGGTCATCCGTGCTTTTATAAGAACGAAATGGCGCTTTTAGTGACATTTTGCATACAAATCCCCATCTAGTAGGGCGCAGTCACCCAGTTTCGGTGGAAGTGCGCGAGTTCGATTGGGATTCAAGTAGGAAGGGAGCGTCGCAGCTTCCTCGGACCAAGACCATTCGACTCAGCACCCAGAAGACTACAACTGGTGAAAATTTGATTTTAGGGTATACTTCCCCTTTAAAGTAGGTGAAGTCTTTTCGATTTCAGGAATCAGGGCATAATTTTTAGACCGTAAAATGCCAATATATAAATATAAAGCATAATCCGCCAATACAAATGGTCAATTACAAGGGCCTAGTACGTAGTAGGGGCCGGCTAGTCTACACTACTTTTTTTGTAGTCACCACGGTCACTACAGTAGTAGTACAGACAATACAGTACAGACTACAGTCAGAGTACAGACTCAGTGCACTCTCGATCTAGCGCGGGCGCGCGCGAGTTGTACCAGATCGTACGCGCTCGCGGACGTGTCTGACACGTACACGTGAAACGAAAAGATTTTTTTGGCGGGTAGTCGGCAAAAATTAAGTGACGGTCCTTCGCCTCGATCAGGGAGAAGTAATTTTTCGTACTACTCGTACGCCATGGTAACAGATACCAAGGGAAAAATGGCGACAGAAAAGGGCAATCGCTGGTCGCTCAGGCCGGTAGATCTACGAGCAAGCCTGTTTGAAAAAATTCAGCAAACCCTGGCCTGAACCAGTTACATGTACCTAAATTTCTTTCTTTCTCTTTACTTCCCCATTTTCATCATACTGTTGTCCCCGCTGAACAAGAGTCAAGAGGCTTACATCGTATTTGTGTTCCCAAATTCGCGAGATGGTGGGCATATTCCCAGGGAACACTTAGATTTCAAGATCATGTGGATAAGCGATGGTTGTGTGGGATAGTACTGATTGAAGGGATTGGAAATGGGGTCGAGACGCGTCCCTTGGTCATCGACTGAGGAATGGATCCATGTCTACAATTTATCGTTTAATGGAGATGCTGAGTCTAAGAAGCTGGCATCCAAACGCATGGCTGCCTGGAGAGCCAGAGGGACGTTGCCTGCGTCCGTTGATGCTACAGCAACTCTTCTGGATGCAATTTGCTGTGATTGCCCTACGATGGGAGCTGTGGCTTCGAGAGACATGCAGGCTCGCTGCACGCATGGCATCGCTCTCATGCGATTTGTCAACATGATCACGGAGTTTGATCAGACAGGCATCTACGCACAGTCAGTGCAGCGCATAGCCTCTCGTCTGGGCGTCCCTGAGTGGATAGTGGATGCACGCCACAGTGTTGCACACAATGATCTTCCAGGGCTGGAATTACTTCGTGGCGCGGCGCAATTTTGCTTGGTTTGGCTGAAGGAAAATTATTGGGAATTACAGCTAGGCCAATGGACTGAGGCTGAGACAAAAGTTGCTAATGCTGTCTGTCAGTACTCGCAAAAGGCACACGAAGTCCTTAAGAATCATCTCGTGAAGAAGAAGAGTGGCGTGCAAATCAGTGGTGTGTCTGAACTATCAAAAGTAGTCACTGAATCACTGCTCCTCTGTTCTGAGTACGTACCATTGCTTAACGGCCTGTGCGAAGACTGGCGTTTCCTGTGTGTGCGTGTGTGTGCGTGTGTGTGTGTGTGTGTGTGTGTGGTACATGGGGTGTGTGTGTGTGTGTGTGTGTGTGCGTGCGCGCGTGCGCTTGTGCACATGTATCCCATATGGTGCTGTGGTATGTGTAGTCGATTTCCAATCGAGAGGCTGCGGGTTCAAACAGACTATGGCCACGCATGTCTTTCTCATTCTCCTTGTGACGCTTCTTTCATTCTCCTGGGTGGTTACCGATAGCCAGTGCATGCCAGAGTATGTCGTGTGATGTGTGTGCGGGAAAAAGATGAAAAATCTTCAGTTTTCCTAGGTGCAATCCTAGCACTAGTTGCTATGGCTTCTGCTGTAGCATCGCTATCATCGCCTCTGGCGATGGGCGCCTATGGTCTAAGGTGTGTGTGTGGGTATGGATGCGTGCATGTGCATGTGTGGAGGGGGAATTTCTCTGGGCTTCAGAAACACATTATTTCTTGAATAGTGCTGGTGTCGGTACTGACAATGGCTTGCAGTGTCCAGTTGTTGGCAGGTTTGTTAATAATATTACTCATGAAAGAGGAAATTTGTTAGTTTCTCCATGCAGTAGTACGTTTCTCCCTTTTCGATAGTTGAATAAGGAGTTTGTAATACTGTGAACTGGTGTAATAGCATGGCTTGCTTTCTCTTCTGCTTCTGCAGGTCTTTTGCTGTCCACAAGCTACTCGCTTCTCAGCTGCTGAAGATTAGTGAAGTACTGCTTGATGATGGAAAGCAACATGGTTACGAATTCCCCGACCTGTCTTCTGCTCTGTGCGCAACATCTCTGCCACGGGCTGTGTGCATGCCGGATTGTGTTCTAACAGCGTGCTGGCCTCTCCTGAAGTGGTGTCAGCTTGCGCAAGCATCTTTCTTCTCCACGTTGCTTGAGGAGTTTGGACATTGTCTTGGTACCTGTCCACCGTATTATCCGGATGAAAGGGAACATTGGTGGCGCCGACAAGTGCTCGCTGCTTCCTGGATTCTTGGTATTCTATCGCAAGCAAGAAAAACGAAATCTTCGCAGCAGCGCTTGCTCAAGGTCAAGGGTCTCGACGGAAAGCACTTGCTTCGGTTCTTTCTATCCGAAGATCGTGTCGGAAACCCAGATGGCTGCGGCATATTCTGTGCTGACATTATTAGCGGCTTACTGACAGCGTGTCCGCTTGAAGATGAACAATCATCCCCAGAGGCAACCAAACCCAACTCTGGCAACTTTGGTCCTCTGAGCACAAGAATATGTGAGCTGAGTCGAGCAGCAAGTCGCATTAGTCAAGTTCACATCCTGCATCGCTTTCTGTCCTCCGACCAGGTGAGTGCATTTTGTTTCTGCTCTGATTTCTTTCTACCACAGACCCGGTACACAACAAAATGTACACAAAGTGTGTGCAGACCTGTTCGATGGAATCAAGAGTATATACACCAGTGTGCAACTCCGAGAGACTAGGCTCATGGCAAAGTTGTTTTGTTTATGTCATAGTGAATCACCTTTGCTGCCTCTCATACCGGTTCCCATGGTTATTTAAACTTGTTTTACCGTATCACCAAGGTAATTTCTGTTGCGCATTGCTGCTAGTCGTGCAAGTGGTGAAAGCGCATGCGGATTTGCCGTTATCGCCTTAATGATATTGTGGCTTTGCTCTGAACCTAGGGTGTGATGGGTTTTCTTTTCTATGATTCGTAAGGCCATCATTTTTTATATCTATGTTTCGCGTCAGTTCAACTTCCAGAATCATATGCGAGAGGTGGAAAAAAATAAAAAGTTGCAAAATAATAAAAAAGGCTCATCAGGCCAGGGGTGTATGCACTGTACATAGCACAATAGTTCGTGCATGGTGTACATTCGAGAGAAAAATCGTACATCGAAGCACAACATCTGGGTTATCAGCATGAGTAAATATTCACTTTGGACAGAGGAGGCAACCGTTGGTGCCCATGCTTCGCGAATTCGCTGGATTATTGTAGTGTGACTTCAGCAGCGGTGCAAAGAGCTCCGGAACGACGCATTCTCTCAGCTTGAGGTGATCAATGCGGTCTGGTGTAAGATCATAGAATATTGCTCCCAGATGCCGAACAAACGATTTACCAACGCTGGCCTAGAGGCCATTTCTGAATCCCAGCTTCGCCATATCGCAACCAGTCCACACTGATGACTCGCACGATCGTACACTCACTGTGCATGTTCGATATTTTTATTTTTTTCCGAAAAAAGTCAAAACGTATGCGTGCGGACGACGCGAAACATAGCTATAAAAAATGATGGCCTAATCACCTAAACAAACCACTTCGCTGCATGAAGGCACTGCACCATGCAACAGGCCCGTAGAAAAGAGATCACAGTTGCATACTCTTGATTCTGGACTTTTCTTTGTGGCTCCACCCTTGCAAATAATGATGTGATCGATGCACTCTGTACAGTCAACTTTGCGTATAACGACCCTCGGCCGGGCATCAGAAAAGTGTCGTTATTCGCGAAGTGTCGTTATACCCGAGGTCTCATTATATTATGTATACAGGTAGAACGGACTTTGCTCTGGGCATGGAAATTCTGTCGTTATTCGCGAATTGTCGTTATAACTGTTATCCCCAGTCGTTATTAGTGAAGTTGACGTACCCCATGTTTTCATGGCACACATACTAGGGTGCTCCAGTAGTTTTGTACTGAAACCACCAAAAATGTTGACAAGTGATCTTCCCCCACGTTCTTGCTCTGTGCATACATGTAAGGTATGTGCAGAAAATTGTGCCGGACTTTACGAAGACAGGTGTAGTAAGGCCAGTATGTCCAATTGTGTTACTAGTCTCGTCATCATCCAGTAACGTTCCGCATTCTTTGTTGCCGTGGGGCATAGCTCGTGCTAATCTCCGTTGCGCTTTCCTTCCCCTCTTTGAACCTTTCCTAGCCTGAGCCTTCCAAGTTGGAAGGTTGTTGGTTTGTGCCTCGTAGATGTGTTGGAGCTAGGTGTCAGGTCGTTGAATGTCCCAGTACTCCTTGTCAATGTTGTGCCATGCTGTCGCACTAGCTGACTGTATATGATCTGGTTACATTGGTGGACAGGTAGTCATGACCCATAACATTTTTGTCCTTCCTTTTACATGTATCCTGGAAAAATGCGTTGGCCATTGTTAAAAGTATGCATGAACTTCCAGAGTACAGAAACAAGATGTCATTTGCCACTGTGGATAGAGGGAAAGTGAAAGCGTACTACAGTTCTTTGGCAAGTTCTGACACGCAGGTTTTCTGCTGAATTCATTTTCGCTTTATTTTCAGGTTTTGCTGTTGGAATTGCAACCTCTTCTTTGGAATTGTATTTTGCCAAAGAAAAGTCAATTTACGGTGTCCTATCTGCCATGTTTCATGTAGGGTGATGATGCGTGTTGCAGCTCCGAGGGTACAATCAAATGGCAGTCGTGTCAGATTGGAATGCTACCAGACAGCAACAGCAGCAACCTACGCTTGGATTTACCATCATGGTTTGATGATCCTGTCCCAATCTGTGCACCGATGGCTTCGTGTGACGCGCCTTGCCATGCACAGATTGCTACTGACAACAGCACCGAGAACAGTATGGATCTAGCTATGGAAGAGGAGGAGAGCCTGTAGAAAGGTTTGCTATTCACACTGTTGTACTCTGTGCGTTTATAATTGGTGTGTGAGACTTGCTTGATTTTTCAATACGGTAGTCTACCCGGACTGTATCAGGGTGACAGTAATTTCCACTCACTTTTTGTGCGCCGTTGATTCGATTCTGTCCTAGGCTGACCACAGCGTAGGATTCCTGCTGCTATATTTTGGATGCTACATGTATGCTTTCTAGCAGAACGTCTTAAGTTAAGAGCTGTTCTGACCTAGTGCTGCATGCTGGGCATGAAAAGGCGTTCTGCCTGTTGCTGCGAGTAATTGAAGTTTGCTTACATTGGCTTGTCTTGCGCCTTGTCTCACGTTTCGCTTTTTTTTCTACTCAGCTCCTGCCATTACATGAGTGCCTGATTGTTTTGCTCTCGGCTGGCCGAGGCTTTTGAACTATCGTAGGGCATACAGTTCAGAGTTGAAATGACTACTTTTTTATTTACTTTTAACAAAGTTTATGAACTCCATTTTGTGTGCCAGCCATGAGGTTTGTATGGTTCTGCCAATTTCATTGCTTTTCGAGCAGAGTCTGCCAATTTATTGAGCATTATCCGCTAAGGGCTACCGGGGGCTGGACCCCATTAGGTTGAGATGCTCCCTAGACTGGGCCTCTACCCGTTCCTGCCCATGCCATGGTGTTCATATTGGACGCTGTCAGACTGTCCTGTCGCTTCCCATCGATCCTTTTTTTTATCAGTTTGTACATATCGGTACTTGTACCGGATCAAGGCCGGAGAAAAGAAGTCCCGAAAGACGTAGTACATGATCGACCGTACCCGCGCCGCGTGGAGCACTGGATGGATCCATAATCATGGCTCCAGCGTGGGCCATCCCCTGATTTCATAGGTGCCGAACATTTTTACGTTTTTCAAAAAATAAATCAATAAATGTACTGTATTGAAAAGAAGAAGAAAATCATGGCTCCAGGGGCCAGGGCATGCAGAGCTACATGTAGCTGAGAGCTTCAGTCCATTTCAAAACTATAGATGCGGAGGGTTTTTGAAATATTTCAAATTTGGCTGGAACTTTTTGAGAATAGTTTTCGGAATATTGCTCAGGATCGCTCCACAATTACTCTCATTATAGTTTCTAAACGATTGGATAACAGACGCCCAATTTGGAATTATGCACAAAGTGATCACAGATTTTATGTGGTATAGATGCTGGCATAACGGTTTTTGCCCAGGTACGCGTCTATAGTTTTGAAATGGACTGTAGCTAGCTACATCATGACAGGGAGCAGTACAATACCGTATTGTACTACTCCCTGTTACATCAGCCCAGACAGATCCTGCCGGCCGGCAGTTCTTTCGGCAAAATATCGAAAAGCGGAAATTGCTGGCAAAATTGGGCAACATATCGAGATTTGGCGTAAAATCGACCTTTAACGCGACCATGCTCTCTCCACTCTGCTCACGCCGCTGTCACACATCTTCTGCTCTTGTAGTTTCGGCTGAGGCATCCATTTCGCAGCTCTGACTCATAAACTTGCCATGCCGTGTAGTATTATTATCGATATGTACAGTACAGGTACATAGTGAAACAAGGTTTATCTATTTTAGTATTTACTAATACTAGTACGGTACTGTTTTTTTAACCAGTGTTAGGTTATATCGTACCAGTACATGTACAAGTACAGTAAAACCAAGAGTACTATAGACTGTAGTATTATCATGATTATAACCCCCCCCCCCCCCCCCTATAATATAGGGGGGGGGGGGTTATAATCATGATAATACTATAGTCTATAGTACTCTTGGTTATAATTATACTCTTGCCGGCATGCCGTGTCTTGGTAAAACCTGGTGTAAGCGACCTCTGGGTTTAGCGACCACCTGCTCTTAACGACCGTTTTTCCATGCACCGACACGCGCACGCGACAGTTCTACACAGACCAGGGATCCGGGAGTCGACTCCCTGACACAGACACTGTCACAGTGTGGGACCTGGTTCTACGACCGCTTCTGCTTGCACAATTATTATGATTGTATGATCTGCAGATCTGGCATATGCGCATACGATTTTCCTTTCTCTGGCTGTAAAAAGTGTAACATTATCTGTATGGGGTATTTACACGACAGGCAAATCCACGTGCACCGGAAAGTTGCTATGGTATTTTACCTGTGAACGAGAAAAGTGGCTGAAAGCAGGGAGTAGTAAAATACATTTGTATTTTACTACTCCCTGCTGAAAGTGGCTGAAAAGTGCAAGCGAGCTAGCTAGCTAGCTAGCTGGGGGGCCCACTTTCACGATAATCGTGGCGTGACGAGTATATTTACACCAAAACGCGCGAAACAAGACTTGATTTTTTACGCGGCTCTTTAGAGCATGATAATAATGTATGTACCGCGTACCGGTACGCGGTATGCGTGTTTTGAAAATTTGAAATACCCATACGGCCATAGGGCCATAGGCAGCCAGTGCAGTAGGCTGCTACTGGTCGGTGTAGCATTCAAAAATGCAAACGTGTCGTCGAGTGCATGCAGCTAGCTGTGTGAATCCACACGTGACACAGTCACTTTTCTCGTAGATCTGGTCACGTGATCCCGTAGATATACGCGACCACGGGGACGTCGTGGGCGCGCGGCCGGGGCCGGCCGGGGGCGCGCGCGCGGTATGCTTGTGCAGGGACTTGTACAGCTATTTCATGATAGGCGAGTATTTTCATATGAAATGCCAAGCCGGCCAAAGACAATAGAACTTATTAGAAGGAAAGAGATAAAGAGGCTGCATGTGGCAGTTATAAGTTCGGCATTTTATGCAGGGCAACAGAATTCTCTTCCTTCATGGCTGGAGCCCGCAGAATTGAACATGTCTGCATGTGATTTCCGATATGGCAAACATTTTCTTCGAGACGCCTCCAGTGTAGTTTTCGGGATATTGTTTGGATTTGCGCTATCTATTGTAATTCCGGATATTGTTTTGCCACCAGGTTTCTTCAACAATGTGTCCGAGTATACTGATAGTCCGAAGAGTGATTTTATCGGGACCCATTTGCTACCCAGTGTGCCCGTTTCATCGCCGCACGAGCTGAGTGTGCAGTATGGAGTTGAGATATCTCGTAGTATGCTATATGTGGGTGTTCTATCAGCAGGTAGATTTCTGAGAACACGAATTGCAGCTTGCAATCGAACATGGGGCCAGGATCTTCCAGCCCGCGATATTCAATTCTTCGTAGGCACTCCTCCCACAGAACCTTACTCCGAGAGTAGTGTTGTGACTCTGAAGGATGTCAGCGATCATGAGTATCCACCTCAAAGGAAGGCTTTTCGCATGCTACAATACATGTGTGATCATTATCTGGACAAGTATAACTGGTTCTTGAGAGCTGACGACGATGCGTACTTTCGCGTCGAGAAGATCAAGAAATGGCTTTCACAGAGAGATCCTAATGTCAAGTGAGTTCGTGTCATGTCACATGTGTGTCATGTGTACTGGAGTATACTTTGTGTTCATGTACTTATGCACTTGTGAGAGCAATCAGTGCTTGCATTGAATGCAGGCTTGCCGGCCCAAGATGCCACTTTGATCTTGAGTAGATACAAACCAGGTACTAAAACAAAGTTGCTACTTCATGAGTACTTGCGCAATGCATATGTTGCTTGCAGAATACCAATAAATAGACTATCAATTTTAAAATGATTGCGTGTATTTGTAATGCAAAGAACTGCACTAGGCACTAGTGCATCTCTAATATGCACTGACCCAGGCTTGGCGCAGCCTCTGACATGGGGGGGGGGGGGGGGGGGGATAAATGTATGAATGTTATTGGACAGATGCAAACTCTTTCAGGCTCTACTCATCCAGAATGTGCGCGCAAGTGTGCGCATGAGTAATGCTGTCAGAACCACTATTTCCTTGGTGCAGCGAACTAGCATTTGTGATCCATTAGAAAGCGGCACTGTGGTGGTGGTGGTGGCGGAGGCAGCAGCAGAGGCAACGGTTTTGGGGGTGGGGGTGGGGGTTGGTTGGTTATATTTAGGCTCCACAGTGTTAGCACGTCATCAAGAGTACATAAACCAGAGTGTGCACCTCAGGATGGTTCCTGTAGCTGGAGCGTAATCCGTGCAGTACGTCATTTCTGACAGCATGGTAACTCACTTGTACGGTGACAAGTTACGTAACCAGTCGCGGTGGTGCAAGTCACTGAGTTTGTGCTGATTTCGGGTTTTTTGATACGGGCCGCCAGGTGAATTTACTTGACAGCGGATGTACGCAGCGTACGCAGTCACACAAAAACACTGAAATCCTAAAACAGGACGCCTAAAATCATGCAAACTTGGCTGATTTCCGGGCTGTGAAACACAAAAATTCGAGGTGTATTCACGTCGCGGCTTGGCTGACCTCATCAGGGTAGCGTACGAACTGCGCTGTTTCAGATTTGATGTGCACAGTTGCACGCTCTGGTTTATGTACTTGTGACGTCATGTGGAAAGAGTGGGGTCAGGGCATCCAGACAAGATTGAGCAGTGCTCTGCTCGTGCATGCGTATCAGTATGCTGCCTGTCTGAGAAAAGACAGTGCCTCGAATGCACACGACTGTAGTTAGACTTCTGTGTTCTTTGGAACGTCTGACATGACAGTATTAGTCCCTACCTACTGATATTCTTGCGCGTGCTCACATGCTTCTATATTCTGATATTGGTGTTCCCCGTAGGTATTACATTGGACAGGCGGGCTACGGTCGTGACCTGGACAAAGGCCGCCTTCATCTGCCCGGGGACGACAACTTCTGCATGGGAGGGCCCGGTGTTATCATGAGTAGAGCATCAATGAAAGGCATCTGTCCTTATATTGAATCCTGCATGCAGGACAATGTCACACGCTCTACAGGAGAGGAGGATGTCGAGATCGGCCGTTGCTTCACCAAGCACCTAAGTGTTCTGTGCACCTCGGCATATGAGGTCAGTTGGTTTCGTACCATCACAGACATCAGGGACTGCTACTGTATTTAAAGGGGAAGTCAGGGAAAAATGAAAATTTCAGGGTCCATAGAATTTGGGGCGCTGAGTCGTATAGTCTTTGTCCGAGGAGGGTGCGGTACACGTTTTATAGATATTCTCAATCGAATGAGTACACAGAATTGTCATGTACATAGTCGGGGAAGGTGTGGTCGGCAGGGCCGGTGGTCTTGGTTTTTTTGCGAAAGAAATTTAGTTTATGGCATTGAACAGTTCAGCCTCACCTCTCTGAACGCTTTGTCGCAGAGACGTGGGACCAACAACATTCGACTCAGCGCCTGAAACTCTGTGGACCCTGAGATTTTCATTTTTCCAAGGACGTTGTTTCCGCCTAGGACGTTCTTATATTTGAGCAACTTGGCTGCGTTCTTATCACGGTCTTAGAAACAATTTGTACTGGGCCATATGTAGCGCAGAAGCTTCCACAACACCAACCCCAACGGTCTTAACTTTAGGCTGTGCTGTTCTCTATAATTTCAGGCTGGGTATTCTTGGGCTCCATGTTCTTCGGCGCTCGACTCTACTGTACGTTACACCGGAAACTTGTCAGGTCTCTGCCGCCAGAATTTTACAAAATCTAAAATTACATGTTACATGTTTAATCAACAGTAAGACTTCAGCATTTTTGCGATGCCACGGCCACGAAACCGGGAAATTCCCAAATCACATCCATCTCGCCGCTCACGCAACTGGGCCATCGCAGAAGTTGAGCTTGGCTCAACTTTTGCTGTGCGATGTGCGATTTTGAACTTCTTTGCAGTAGGGCTGAAACAATTATACCGATAACTCGCATATCGATCGTTAAGAGTGCAATCGATAATCGTTAGTGCTCAAAACGAGTGCTAACGATTTTTTATGGATGCAAGTCAGTGACAGTATTCTAGCCTTTGCACTCCATCCAAAAGTGGATACGAGTGCAATCATGTACTTTCAAGCGCAGTAAAATTGATTCGTGGCTTAGAAAGAGATCGGGAGAGAAGACTTTGCCTTTTCGGTTCATTTGTGGGCGAAGTCGGAGATGAGAAGTTCCCAGAGGGTGATGACAAGATTCTTCGCTCTAGAAACAACATGAAATTCTCTACTTTAGTAGTTCATGTTGATAAAACCAGCCAGATTTCTACAGATATCAAAAGTGCGGGGCGACAAAATTTCTAACGTAGCAAAGGCATCATGGAATTTCTTCACAAACTGGTGTTTGATAGAGCCGACAAGAATCGATAAAACCAATATATCGATCGTTAACGATATTGGTTGATCGTTAGGAGTTATTGAATGATCGTTTCAGCCCTACTTTGCAGCAAAGTTCAAGAGTTGCTTGTAGATTTGTAAAAGTTGCTCCCAGCCACCCGAATACCATGGTGGCATACTCACCTGCAATGAACTTTGCGCCTAATCAGCACGGCGATGTCACATCGCTGACTTCTTCTGTGGATGGTATTGCGCGAGTTCGCATCGCATGCCCCCGTTGCAGATTGCGTAGCATCGTGCTTCACATCTAAAAAAACTTGCGGTTCATGCGTGCCCAAATGCACATTCAGGCTTTCATACAAAACTGCCGTTCAAGTCATATTTTGGGCCGCGTGACGCCTTCGAGTACTATTTTTTGACCCCACCAGTCAAAGTAACTGGTGTGTACGCCAGTACTTGCCTGATACGCGCTGACAAATTCATGTTGGAATTTCCATTTCGACGCGTTTCCATACGCGTGACACCCCGAAAGCAAAGAAAAACGTGTGGTTTCAACCATACACGCGCCAGTTGACACCATGGCAGTGAATTTTGTTGTGGATCCAACTTGAAAGTAGGTTCTCCGCTTTTTTTCTTCTTCTTTGTTTCACCCGTTGCATGCTGTATTCAAGTAAGTCAATAAAACATTTGCGTGTTAGCATCGAAAATGAAATTGCTGCATCTACAAGGCGCTCTGATCTGATTGTACTCAATGAAACTGCTGCATCTACAAGGCGCTCTGATCTGATTGTTCTCTAGAGATACAAACACCTACACACACGCTGTAGCCTGGTTTTTTTGTTTTCCCTGTGTTTCCTGTTATTGTGGCAGTTTATGGACTTGTTCTACCACTCGTATCCACAAGAGTACAACGTTCATCCCTACCTCTACATCGATGCACGTGCCACCAAAGTGTTTCAGAATGCCCTAACCCTGCACCACTTGAAACTGTCCTACGTCATGTACGATGTTCACAGCTACTTCACCGCCAAGCTGCGCAAGGAGTGGTGGGACGCGTCGCTGGCACTGCGCATTACCTCACAGAAGCTGTCTGATGCCCACCTGAAGAACTCGCCTATCACGCTTAGTGTTGCAGAGCTGCCATCTCTCATGCCACTGGAGACGGTGGAGCCGTTGACATCTGCAGCGACCCTCACGGCCACCGACAGCAGCCAGGCTCCGCTAGAGTTTGAGTCGAGTGACTGGATATATTCTGACCCAAGCGCCAGTGTAGACCTGTCATCTCGCGGGGTGCTTGGTCCCAGCGAAAGCAAAGCGTTGCTGGGAAGAATCACAGACATCACGCGCCGTGCCATCACACAGGAGAAGATGCGATTCGAGAAGGTGGTGAGTACACACCTGTATAACGAAGAGTGTAACGGCTTGGTTGATTTGAGGATATTCACAGACTTGCTCGCCAGTTGGCGCACAGGCTTCCTTTCCATGCCTGCTGGGCGCGTGGACCTCGGTTGCATGTACATTATGGCATATTACTGTCATAATGAGTATGTACAGTGCAATCATCCACAGGTGGCACCTTAGCTTTCTGGTGTCTTGGTGATGCCGGCGCTCACCTACACTGGCAACAGCGATATGCTCTAACAGATCGCCAAAAAACACTTTTCTGCTGCTTTGTGCATACCGTATTTTTCGGAGTATACTGTAAATATACAAATTTTCGGCAGCAATTTAATTTCGGTTATATTCGGCACCGACCCAAAACGCCGATGAAATTTTCCACAGCATCTGTCGCACTATCATGCCCTCTACCCCACGCCGAAAATAAATCGCCGCCGAAATGTCAAAAATCGTGAAGTGCCGAAATTTTGCAGCGCCGAAATTTTGTATATTTACAGTAGTGCGCACCTTTGTATAACGCGCACCCCGAATCTTCATTGGGGGTGCGCACTTCAATCTTCATTAAAGTACATGCATTTCATATTCGGAGCATAGTGCGCACCTGCGATTTAGGGCCTAAAATAGCACATCTGAAGTGCGCACTATACTCCGGAAAATACGGTAGTGATTTTACAAATTACCGGTACTCACAAACTCAAATTCCATAGCCCAAAGTGTGAATTCCACGCAGAAATTACTGCAGCCACGGGATCACGTTTCACCTAGAGGACAGACTATTTCCGCAATAATGCCTTCTTGGAGGTGGTGTGCTAATTTGAAGTTTATTTCGTCTTGCTATCTGTTCGTCTGCATTTTCTCTCTCTCTCTCTCTCTCTCTCTCTCTCTCTCTCTCTCTCTCTCTCTCTCTTTTCATGTATGTCTTCAGCTCCGTGTGTGGTCCCACTCTGACCCGAGTGGAGGTATTCGCTACTTTGTCGAGGCCTCTGTGCAAAGGTTTCTGGGTAGGAACGCATTACAAAGCACCTATCAAGTGGAGTTGCATCAGTTCTTGGACGGCCCGGAGATGCAGTCCGTGGCAGCTTCGGCCCCCGATGACTCTGAAGTGCTTATTATCCTTCCGATCACCCTCGTCCACTTCCCGTTCCTCCAGCGCTTTATGAAGGTAAGGTGTCCTGCCTTTACTACTGGTACGGTGCTGCAGCAAGCTGCTAGGACTGCTGGATATTGGCTTGATGTTGGCTTTTTCCTCTGTGTGCATTGGAAGGAGGAGGGGGGGGGGGGGGGGGGGGGGGAGAGAAGTGCAATGCAAGTGGAACCCGTATAGTTCAAATACCGTCAAATTCCGAAATTCCACTTATTTTAAAGCCCTTTTTTACTGGACTATCAGCACAGCATGATACAGAATTAGAAATTTCAGTACAGTTTTCACCTTCACCAGGCCGCAACTTTGGTCTCCTTCACTCGATTTTCACAATCTTGGGCTCGTTGAGCTCTCGGCGAGAAAAAATGCCAGTAAGTTGTCTCCAAGCCCGATATGCAAGCAAATTCGCACCATCAACGCCATTCCTTTCTCCTCCATCGCAGAATGCTCAACTTTTTTTAGGCGATTCACACTTCAGCCGGCTACATTATTATCAAGTGCTCAGTCGCTCAAAGAGCACAGCACGCAAAAAGGATTTCCCCAGAATGGCGAAGCGTATGGGTCTTAGCGAACGAATACTCCGTATTTCTTTCGCCACCAGTGCTTATATTAGACCTTGACCAAATGCTTGCTGCTGCTATGTTGTGTCAATAATCTTGCTGCAGATGTACGAACTGAACTTTTTGGCTGGTCAGAGTGACATTGGTGCCGAGGCTCCTGGAAAGGCCCACCTCTATGTTGTCGTGTTTCCCGATGCCAATATTGATGTCAAGGGCTTTGAGGTATGCAACAGGATCTGGTTTAGATGCTCTCTTTTCAACTGCATGTGGGTCTCAGAGTTCTTGAAAAGAATCAACCAATTGCTCATCTTTGTTCATGATGTGATTGTCTGTCAGTGGTGCTGCTACATTCTCTCTGTGTGTTGGTAAACAGCTGTAGTGTGGAGTGCCCAACGCCCGTGGAAACATGTGAATAGGGTCTGCGACAACTTGCTCCCACATAGATTCAATTATGTTCATTTTTTATTGTTATCAAAATTTTAATAGGGCAATCCTCACAGACCTAAGAGGCCTTTTTGCAGGGTACCCTAGAAAAGCTGTACTGTAGCTGTACTGTACTGATTTACAGAATAGGTGCAATGAAGAACATAAATGGGCCTCACCAGGGAGTGCGTTTCAGCGATCGGAGTCAAGGAACCCAACTGAAAATAGACCATAATTAGTCTTGACTTTGGGTAGAGTGAGAGATAAGGTCAGCTGAGAACGAATGCGAGAATTGGTGTGTGTGTGGAAGTAGAGCGGAGAGAAAAGCAGGAGCTAATTAATGCAGCACACAATACAGTAAAAACATGTAGGGTTTAAACTGATACCGTACAGACAGAGGAATAATATGCTGACGAGTGATAGTGAGCGGTACATCGGGAAAACGTGGCATTCAATCACAATGCGCAAAGCTCTGTTGCTTAGGCGGACGAGGCGATATAGAAGGGTGACCAAAAGGCAGCGGGCGAATGAGTTGGATCCGTGCTCCAATGCCGTCTGAATGGAAGAAAAGTAAAACACTCTCTTTTCACCGATCGTTAAGTTGTCTCGTGCCTTTCGGTACGCTCTCTAAACGAGAGGTGCTCGTCAATTACCACAGCCAGGCAACAAACATATACACTGGGAGCGATGTTGGCGGCACCAAGCTGAAGCTTGATGCTGGGGTCAAGAGGCTTGCACTTTAATGTTCAAACTATTATATAAAACACCACAAACTTTTTTTACCTGGGATGGATGCAGTGTTGAACCTTGTGTGATGAGTTTATAGATCAAGATATAAGTGCACCACTGCGGCAGGATTTAGAAGCTGAGATTGCCGGAAAAGGAAAAGCACTACATATAAGCCAAGAGCGCAATGTGGAGTGGTGGAGTGTTTCAAAATTTCAAATGAAATTCTAATTGTTCTGTGGTGAACTAGTTGTTGCTAGAAGTATGCAGACTATTTTTTCCTTAGAGCCGTTTCGGTGAAAGAAGTTTCAACAAAGCAATGAATAAAACAACTGACGGCGACATAATACCATGATGGACTAATACAATGAAATATGTGAAGAAGAGTTCAGACACGTTTTTCTTCGATGGTCATCAGTGAACCTACATCGAATAATGTATAATTACGGGGAAACAAACCAGCATGTCGGTATATGCTCAAACTATGTGTTCACTGAAGGTAACAAAGTGACTACGGTAACAACACGGGTGCAAGGGTGATTCAGGTGTATTGTCACAATGGGGTGAGAACCGTGTGGAATGAAAATAGTATTGAGCTAGGGTGTGAGAATCTACCGTATTTCCTCGATTAATAGACCCGGTCTTTTGTTTTTTGAAGAGGGTTGGACCCCCGGTCTCTTATTTGGGCATGGTCCATTATTTGAGCACGGTCCACTATATTTTCATCGGCACATCGCTGGAAATGGTGGATTTTTAACACGTTATAATATAGAAGTTCTATATTATGACGTGTTAAAAATCCACCATTTCCAGCGATGTGCCGATGAAAATATAGTGGACCGTGCTCAAATAATGACTTCTATATTACAAATAATGAAAGAAAGCACTAGCCACTACAAAAATTGTAGTTGCGCAACCTAAAATCGTGTCCTTTTTTGATCCACCACGTGCTTTCTTAGTGCGCATGCGCAAAGCGATGAACTCAAATAAGAGACCGGGTCTCTTATTCGGGCATGGTCTACTATTTTTCCGTGAGGCCTCTAGGAGGGTCTACTATTTGAGCATGGTCTATTATTCGAGCATGGTCCATTAATCGAGGAAATACGGTAAGTGTACTGTAAGACGTGTAAATCTAACGAGGAAGTAAATCTAACGTTTTAACGAGTTACATTTTTTCGTTATAATAAGTTCTGTTTAGGCTGTAAGGCCTCATATGTGTTATGTGTGGATATGCCTGAAGACTGCAAGATCGCAAACGTACCTTCTCGTTAACCAATGGATTTTGGTCTTACTGTATAGCGTACATTCAGAAGGATGGGACATTGTTACATCACTCACCCGAGATCAGGCTCTGCCCATAACTTAAAAATGTCTGTCACTCTGAATATTACTCTTAATCACATACATACGTGTACGTTTCAATTGGGAAGGACACGTGATCTGGTATATGAAGTCACTATTTCCACAAAAAAATGGCAATAGAGTAGTAATATTTCCACTAAAACTCGCCCACAGGGCGCCCGGTGGAACGAGGTCCGGACAAGAGAGCTATTTGTGTATTTTCTATTCAACAGTGAAAATTACAATACAGCACAAGTGATGATGATGTCAGGCTCAATTGCAATTGACTCCTTCTGTCTTCTCTCTTGTGTTGAATGGTGTGCAGAAGCGCGATGGCACATTTGATCCCTCTTTGGTCGTATCACTGTATCAGACAAAGTATCCACATGTTCACATGCATGTAGCCAGCACCACCGGCCCGTTCTCGGCACGCACTGCGCTCCAGCTTGGCTTAGAGTATATCAACTCAGGCACTGCCGGCAGAATCCAGCAGAACAGCGTCATCCTGATGACTTCAGTTGACTTACAGCTGTCACCTTCGTTTGTCGCCGATTGCCAGAACCGAGTGCACCAGCAGGAGGCTGCCATCTTTCCTGTTGTCACTCTGAAGGCTTGCACGCCCAATCCTCCAGCACCACCGGCGGCCGATACCAAGGCCGCGGGTGCTGCTGCTAATCCTGCCGCAGCTTTTTCTGCTTCTGCGGGATCCTGTCATCCTACGGATGACGTGTGGCTGAAGTCCTCTTTCATGCACATGTGCTCATCGCATAGACTTCTGTCTTCGCGCCAAGATGAGATTAAACGTTCATCAGGTATGGATGTACTATACGGCCACCTCATGTCCCTAGTCGATCCTTCATCAGCAGCCAACAAAAAGTTGCAGTCCCCCTCCGTATACAGAGTGTATGACTCAAGTCTGAAGATTGAGCCAGACTTCTTGCACGGCCAGTGTGCTGCTCTGGTGTCAGCAACGTCTGCAACACTGGCCTCCGAAATCTTCCCCGCTTGCTCTTCTCCTGACCTCAGGTAATAGTTTTACAGCTTAGTATTGTCACCAGTTTGAATGTGTGTGTGTGCTTGTGTGTGTGTGTGTGTGTGTGTGTGTATGCATGCCTGTGTTGAAATTGCTGCAGTACTCCTAGCATCCAGTAGGGACTGACGTTTGTGTAGCAGCTGCTAATGCCAGCTCATAGTATGTATCGTTTGTACCCGCTTCTGCACGCTGTTTATATTCCAAACGTCATAGTGCGCGCGTTCTCATAACATTAGCTTTGGAAAAATATTTTCTTGGTCACATCATCATGAGCATGCAAGCAGCCAGTTTTTAGCTTCTAGCCCTCGTTTAGGTCTCACAGTAGGAGCAAAGCAAAAATTGCCTGTTATCACACTTAGTACAATCTTATTCTGGCCCGTGGTGCCAATTTTTCACCCTGCTTTATTGATCTGATTTTATAGCCAGTGACAAGGATTGATCTGGAGCGTTCAACGTTGTTCTACTACACTGCCAGCCTTCATACTATTTATTCTAATTCTCGGGACTGTTGTGTGTCCCAAGTGCTTAACTGCTAGTTAGCTTGAAGCCCATTGCATGTGGGCATGTGTGGTTGTGGATATGCATGGCTATGTGTGGCATGTAACGTTAGGATGTTCTGGGTTTAGGGAGCCTTAGATTTCAGACCGTGCAGGGTACCACTGTCGAGGTGGGGTCTGTTGTTGAGTGTAGGCGTTGTAAAATGGCCTGTGCATGCCCAGACGCTAACATTGCTTTCCACTTTCCGGCACATCAATGATGCCATGCTTGAAGTCCTGTAGTGGCCGTCAGGAAATTCTACTTTTGCTGAAATGTTACGTACAAGTATAATATTCATTGGTTAATTTGAGGGAAAGATGCAAACAGGAAAAGTCTGAAGAAAAAAATGATGTCACCACCAGGACTCAAACCAGGGACCTTCGCTTGAGCAGTTAAAGGGGAAGGTAAGGCAAAAATTAAAATTTCACCAGTTGTAGTCTTCGGGGTGCTGAGTCGAATGGTCTTGGTCCGAGGAAGCTGAGACGCTCCCTTCCTACTTGAATCCCAATCGAACTCGCGCACTTCCACCGAAACTGGGTGACTGCGCCCTACTAGATGGGGATTTGTATGCAAAATGTCACTAAAAGCGCCATTTCGTTCTTATAAAAGCACGGATGACCGCGATTGGCCCATATGTTGTAGTCTTTTGGACGCTGAGTCGACTGGTTTTGGTCCGAAAAGGCTGCGATGCAGCGTTCCTCCTTTATTCCCAATCGAACATGGTTGAACAAGCGGTCGCGTGCTCCTGGGTGCCCAAATCACCTGGTCACCACGCCAGCAGGCGACAACTTTCACACCAAGGTTCAACTCGAGTGACAGGACTGCACCCAAAAAAGGTCAAACAGGCTAGTAAGTTGTACCCTGCAGGCACGGTGACCAGGTGACTGGCGTACACAGGAGCACGTGACCGCTTGTTCAACCATGTTCGATTGGGAATAGAGGGGGAGCGCTGCATCGCAGCCTTTTCGGACCAAAACCAGTCGACTCAGCGTCCAAAAGACTACAACATATGGGCCAATCGCGGTCATTCGTGCTTTTATAAGAACAAAATGGCGCTTTTAGTGACATTTTGCATACAAATCCCCATCTAGTAGGGCGCAGTCACCCAGTTTCGGTGGAAGTGCGCGAGTTCGATTGGGATTCAAGTAGGAAGGGAGCGTCTCAGCTTCCTCGGACCACGACCATTCGACTCAGCACCCCGAAGACTACAACTGGTGAAATTTTATTTTTTGCCTCAACTTCCCCTTTAAGGCCAGCGATGCTCTAATCACTTGAGCTATGGTGCAGCTGTCATCCTATACTAGCAGAGACCCAGTGCCTGCTCCAGCGCCGGGTAAGCCGGGTAATCCACCCGGTTGGGCGGCGCTTGGACCCGGTTGAAAATATAGTACGGGGTCACCTGTGACCCGGTTGGTACTTTACACTTTCGAACTTTGAAAGGACTGACAGTAGTATAGTGCGGTAGGGGTTCTGGACCAAATCCCACCTTTGACCCCTGGCTGCCAAATAAGGAAGAATAGTCCATATATGGCAGATGACCTTTGACCTTTGAGGTGCCATATAAGGCTGAATAGTCCATATATGGACGATGTCATTTGACCTTTGACCTTTCCCTATAAGGCTGGATAGTCCATATATGGAAGATGACCTTTGACCTTTCCAAATACGATTGGTATGTGACCTTTGACCTTTGCTGTGACCTTTGACCTTTCCAAATACGGATGATTGGTCCATATAAGGAATGTGACGAAGGAATGTGACCTTTGACCTTTGGGATTGGTCTATATATGGGGTGAAGTGTCCTTATAAGGAAGGTGCACGTGGTTCAGGTCATAGTAGGCATCTTCCATAGAGGGGTGAAGTGTCCTTATAAGGACACTGCACGTGGTTCAGGTCATGGTAGGCATCTTCCATAGTGGGGTGAAGTGTCCTTATAGGGAAGGTGTACACGGATGAGGTTATAGTAGGCATGTGCCATAAAGGGGTGAAGTGTCCTTATAGGGAAGGTGTACACGGATGATGTCATAGTAGGCATGTGCCATAAAGGGGTGCAGTGTCCTTATAGGGAAGGTGTACACGGATGATGTCATAGTAGGCATGTGCCATAGTGGGCTGAAGTGTCCTTATAGGGAAGGAGCACATGCTGTAGTTTTTAAATAAGGCATATTCCATAGTGGGTGGAAGATGCCTTATATGGCATGCGTATCCTGGCCAGGTCATATAAGGCATTAGTTGAAACAATCATTGAGGGCCTTTCTGTCTGAGGCTTTGAAGAAAAGAAGCATCATGTAACAAAGCTGGGTTCGTACCCGCAACCTCTCGTACGGAAGGCATGAACTGTACCAAACGACCAGGACGACTACACACAAGACCCAAGGCTCAAATCGCCTATTTATACCCGGACCGTAAAGAAGGAAAAAAACGCATCATGTAACAAAGCTGGATTCGTACCCGCAACCTCTCGTACTGAAAGCACCAACTGTACCAAACCACCACGGACGACTATGCAGAAGAGGGAAGGCTCAAATTGACTACATATACTGGGACCGAAGCTCACCAAGGTCTCGCTGGATGAGACATCAGCGACCTATCGACAATGTCATCGAGCATGGAAAGAAGGGTGGGTGGTGGTGGTGGTGGTCATGGTGATGGTGGTGGTGGTGGTGGTGGTGGGATCAGCATGGCATCCAACAGATGGACAGTCGCCAACAATCACTACCCGTGCAGGATCATGATGCAAGTCAACCCGCGTACAGAGCACTCGTTTCATTTTTTTTTTTTTTTTTTTATTTTTTCATATGAATGACATTGTGAATCATGATCTAAGACTGTTCACATCCTTCTTTGTGAGCCAGGTATTGAATTTATTATCCGTGTAGCCTTTCCATTGCACAAGACGTTGATCCTTGTTGTATTTCAACACCTTATCGAATCTCAAACCGGTCTCTCTGGCGTGTTGCAGTTCTGCTTCGTAAAACGATCCGATGATGTGTTCTCCCATCAGATCACGAATCCTGTAGGTGTGTGGTGATGTTGGTAGGATGTCATCCACCCTGAATACTTCCTCCGTCCAGTTTGCAGTGTAGCCCTTCTCGAAATGACGCTTAGATACGGTTAAGCGCACCTCATCACCCACTTTGAACTTGGGTTTTGACTGCAGGGGGTCTTGTTGATCTGCATCTTTTGGTATTCTACCGTTCGATGCTTCGGTAGGTGTCATCCCAATGCTTCTATGCTTTGACTGGTTGTAGCGGTCTAGTAGTTGAGGTAGGACGTTGAGGTACGTGTTCGTGGATTTCTCTGTAAAGTGACGCCACATTCTTGACTTCAACGTTCTATTGAAGCGCTCGACCACCACCGCTTTACCCTCGTTATGGGTGCTGTACATGATGACGTTGTGTTGTGATAACCATCGTTTCATGGGGGCATTGTAGAATTCCTTGCCTTCGTCTACCCAGAGTTTTAACGGTGTCCTTCCGGATGTACTGACAATCTCATCGAACGCATCTCTCACGGCGATACCCGTCTTCGATTTCAAAGGCATTGCCCAGGCATAGCGGCTGTATAAGTCGATGACTGTTAGCAGGAATTTGATGTTCTTATTGCTTCGGGCAAACCGTTGCATATCCACGAGATCTGCACTCCATATATGGTCAATTGCTCTGCTCTTCACCTTGCGTCTTTTGAAATGCACTCGTCTGGGCTTGTGCAATTCGTTAGCCAGTTTCGTATGGAACTGTGCGGGTTGTGTCTTCTTCTTCTTCGGTCTTCCATCATGAATTGCCCTTTGCACTTTGGTGTCCCACAAGACTCCACCACCGCCTTGCAAGACACCTAAACTGAGAACCAGTTTATCGTTTTCCAGCTTTTCGTCATCATCAAAGACTCTTCTGAAAATTCGAAGTGCTTCATCCAGACCATATTTGGAAAATAGCTTTCCCATCAATATGGCATACCATCCACATACTGCTGTGCTTCTGTCTTGAACGGTTTGGGTGTTGGTGATGATCTTACAGTCTGCGTAGGCTTCTTTAAAGAAATTGCACAGTGCAGGTTCAGTGTAATCTTGCTCCATAGTGTATAGACTGCGTCCGAAACTGTCGAAAACCAAGATCACGTTTTGCTCGCGACACACGGTCAACCAATGATGTCCGCCTTCCGTTGCATCGTACACCGGTAGAACGTTGTCGGTGTTGACGATACAAAAGTCTCCATTGTTCAAGGGTGGCAAGAGGTCGTAACTCGTACAGCCCACGAACCCTCCGACACCATTCAATCTTCCTTTGATATCGGCACTGCTGAGAGGATAGTCCATTCTTGATCATAGCCTGAAAATATTTGGCACGTGATCACATGGAGCGTCCGCTCAGGATATCCTTGATGATACGAGTGATTCTGCTTTTGTCCTTCAGCACCTGTTGAATGAATGATGCATCGTCCACCATCACCTTTTGTGCTCTGATCATGAAATGCTCGGGATGGATCAATTTTGCTTCTGTTGTTCTACCATAGGTGGAAGTCATATCGTTGAGATCTTGAAACTTGAGCTGTGATCCCGGTACAGCTAGCACAAGGGTGGTTAGTTCATGAATCTTTCGTTCCGATCGAAGGAACCCATCGACGTGTTTGTCGATTCCCATGGCACCTGCTATGGCTGCAAACGGGTACCTGGACATGTAGATGCGATTCGTCTCGTTCACCAGAGTAGTGTAGTCGTCCAGCGTCTGCGTCTTCAGGGCATCCACTGCCGCTTCCACCCGACTCCTGAACCTCAGTCGATCTTCGTCGTAGAGTTGCAGCAGTTGTGATCGGCTTGTGAAATAGTTGCTCTTCAAAAAGGTCACCGGTATATTTGTATGCCGGAGGAAACTGTCCAGGATTTGCAGGATCCATCGGTCAAATTCATGATCTTGCAGTAGATTGAAAGGCACCGATGTTAAAGGTGCCTTTCTCTTCTTCCTGACATCTGCAACGGAATCGCGAACTTGATCG